ATAATTATCTACTATTTGCTCAAAATTCATACTTACATGGATGAATATGTTTGCGTCCGTAACGGACTGGGAACTTTCTTGTGACCTCCCATCGTTTTGGGTAGATAACCTGTATGTACAGCACACTACAGTATTTACATTCTTGCAATTGTATTAGGCAAAGCTCAGACGATAGCAAGCCCGCTCAATATATTTATACAATTATGTCTTTTATATATTTATACTAGCTGCTATGATCCACTATCAAGCAGCAGTAGATAAGTAATATCCAGTTCTAATGTGGATGCCAACAATTCAGGTAATACACTCCTTTGCCCTACATCTATTTCCCTTGGAGAACTTGGCCATTAAAAAATGGCTCTGTCATTATTTCCATATTCGAGTAAAAATATTTGATTTCTGACGGTACGGTAATAATTCAGTTCGTTGAGTTCTTTCTTTAGTAGTCCCTAGTTGAGGTATGTTTTAATAGCAATTACATCGTCATAATTTCTCGGACATCTTTGGCAGCACTTTATCAACAAAGTTGTCAACATTATGCTATTATTGAGATAAATGAATTGAACTTGGACTGCCTATGCTAAGAAATTTAAGAGAATTCTGAATTCCATTATCCTGCATTTGGTCAGTTCTATTCTATTCAATTTTACATTAATATCTTGGGTTTCTTGGTACAAGCTAAACAAGCTTCCGCTATCTATGCTTGTGTGATGTTACTCTATTAGCTTTAGACTATTGTGGAACAAACGCTGCGTTATCATATTATGATTCTTAAATTGATACACTTTTAAGTCGGATTGTAAAGGATGATATTCATTCCAAGAATATTCTCATATTTATAGAAAATTTTGATAAAGTGCTGTATCAACTACAGTAGGTATATAATATTACTGATTGTGTACCTACAAGAAGCTTATCTTGTGATACCCAAACTTATGTTTATTCTGTGCTCTGAAATATAGTCTCGTACGATATAATTTCTTCATCTAGGTGTAATTAAGGTTGTCCTATCGTAATCAAGAGTATGTAAATTTTTTGTAAATATTACAAACCTACAATACGATAGATTTATTACAAATATATGTATATCTGTCAGAATAGAAGTACGAGTATATCTAAAGTCCAAGGTCTAGTTCTTGATCTATCGTTGACCAATGATCATAGCTGATACACTGTTGAGGTAGGGACTTTAGTAGTCCCTGGTTGAGGATACGTATGTTTACATCTTACACGATATCAAGTCATATGGTGCAGCAGCATTGCAGTGATCTTTGATCCACGGTCATGGCTAATGGCATCTGACAAAGTTCAAGAGTAGTAAGCATGAATATAGATCCTTGTTCCGGTAATTTTACTGTTATGTTACCCCCGCAGTCTTTATATAAAGTATGTATCAGATAATATAATCGTAAACTTCGTAACAAAATGAACGATGGCAGTTCTCCAGCCTGCAACAATAAATTAGATGAACTAGGCGTAATGTAGGATATTTATGAGACTCAACTACACGAGTATTTTTAAAAGTTTCTCGATAAATCGGTAATCTAGCTAAGAATGTACTGTCATGTTCCTGAATATTGGTTTTAGACCTTAATAATTATGTTGCTAATGTTGTTTTAATGATACATTGCAACTTTTCCATTCCTGATGTATCGCGTCTAATTAATTTTAAATGATTTTGCTTCGATATACTATAGAACTATAGTTACTGCTTTCAATTCTCTCAGTAACGTAGCACTTTTTGACTTAATTCAGAGACATCTCGAAGTGATACTTTTAAGTTTTATATAATCTTATCTGGCAATTACTAACGGTAACTAACATTTTAATATATCATCAAGGCATAACATAGTAAGCAATCTATACAATCCTAGAACTAGCAATATGTTGCTGCAATTGATAGCCATTAATGGGGAGATTGGCGCTGTGATTTAATACTTTCTATCTATATATTATGCAAAGACGTAATTTTATTTCTATAATCGACTGTTGGTGAATACCTTCAAATCCTTCATCATACTTGTAGACCGAAAGAGAATAGCTCCACTTCATAGTTTTGCATGCATTAGATGGTGTACAATACCTTGTTGATATCGACATAGAATGGGTTTGTGCTACGGGCTAGTAAGCTTCTAACTTGATCCCAATCTACTCTAATTCTACTCGGATTGGCAGACTTGTTTATCAAGTAGTATCCACTATTCCAATCGTAGCAATATGTCAACGATTTAGCAGATCTCTGCCTATCATCGGCGCTATTCTGGTCGTAGATACGTGTGGCTAACTGTGCAATTGCGATTCTTCTACCACAATAAAGCATAACTGAGTACTCACAGCAAGAATAACCTACCCCTAATGTAAAAATGAAGTCCTCTAACGGAGACTGTCGTGTACCATCTGAAATATACTGTACAGTGCATACGTGTATAGAGAGAGTGTACAACTGTAAATTATTGCAGACGTTAGTTTCGGTCAAGGATTGTGGAAGACAGCGGGCTCAACTCCCTATTATCCAACTATAGCTATCCCGTAGTTTTAGTTTGCTTTAACACCCTCCTCAGAAGCAGTTCATGTATTCTAGGACATAGGTTAGAAGTTTCAGCACGTTAATAGTATTTGTTCTTCATTTGAATTAAGACCAACATGGTTAGGCATAATGTAACATGAATGATTGATCAAGGCACATCGTTGTTGTTAGTATGATAGTATAACAGTAGTACTTGTCCTTGCTTCACTCAAATTAAGATCAACTTGGGTAGGCATGATGTAAAATGATTGATCAAAGCACATGAGTACTTGTTCTTCATTCAAATGCAAGACCAACTTGTCTACCCATGATGGACGCTAAAATGAATGAATTAATTGTCAAAGCATATCGTCATTATTGATACTATAATAGCAGTAACGATACTTGTTCTTCATTCAAATGATATGGAGAAAGTGAATAAATTATTATCATCAAAGTATATCGCCATTATTGATATGATAGCATAACAGGACTATACTGTACCATCATGGTATAACATTAATAATGGTAGTATACTCGTATGCTGTTCATTAAGAATTTGAATCGAGACAGAATGGATTCATCAATACTCTGATAACAGTGGGAAATGAAATACTACAATTATCATGCCATATGTTAACCTGTAGTTAATGCTGTTGGGAGACTGGCATGATCGATCGGTAATTAATTTTTAATGAATGGCTATAATTTTAATTAAGACCATGTGATTTTACGCCGATCTCGTGATCGCAAATCAGGTGATGTCTGTACAACGTATACTGTACTTCTATCATGGAGTGCGTTGAATATTTTGTATTAAAATGGAACTATTATTAATAGTAATTATATAATAATATAAGACATGCCTGCCTACTTGTCATTGAGGAATTCATTTTCGGACGTGACTGCTTTGATGACTCTAGTGTTTACAATACTTTCTTTGACTCCTATTCCACCTTTCAATGTTGACATGAATAATACTATACCCGTGTTCGATCATTCCCGAGTAATTGAATCTAGGCGTATGGCTAATTTTTATTTTTACCATGAAGCTACTGTAAAATATGTATACAATCTTGTGAGCTATCTTTAGCAATCCTATTAGACTGCTAGGTCATATGCAATGATTCTTTTTTTTTAATCATTGATTGCTTGGTGTTCACCATCATCAAAAGATTGTTTCTCGAATTAATTGTAATTTACACACATGATTGGAGTTTTCGTTATTGTCATAAAAATGGGAGGTTGCTGTGACTGAAGTTAGCCTACAATCTACAGGATTGGACTTGGCATCGTAGTTGATTTACTTTATTAGATCAACATTATTACGGTATCCTGACTAACATCTGTGATTCTTGATGAAGAAATATGGATACCTTTGGATGAAAGATATGATATCACGTAGTCTAATAGTCTATCGATATTGATATGCATTTATGCATTAGCCTATCATAATCGATTATTCAGGATTACTATAATCTTTTTTTATTATAGTTTACTCTTTCAAGGTCAATCGCAGACATTGCTACCGTAACATGAGAAATCAAGATTGCTAGACATGCCTGTTATCGGAATGAAGACTGTAAGCTATCAGGCATGAATAAATTCATTTAAAAACGCAAGGAATAAACACCAGCGGTACAATCAAGGGAGATGATGAAATCCATCAAGGAAGTCGACATTACTACCGAAAAAATAAAAAATTGTCCATTGTAGTGCACGTTGATGATCATTGTCACTATGGAAATGTTGCAATAATGCAATAGATGACGTATTCAATTGAATTATAATATCAACTTGTGTAAAAAAGAATGCATTGCATCCTTGACGACTTGTAGGCATTTTTCCCGTGTGTCTTTAGTGCTAGTGGTTGCGGCTCAATGATGAGTTTGATTTTGAACATGACCTTATTGTTTACGGTATACATTTCCACCTATACATATGTTAATTTTTTTTTACTTTAAATTAGATTGGGTAGTGGCTACTGGCTAGGGAACGCCAGCGCTTGCCCAGCATGAATTGCATCGACATTGCTTAAATTCCCTCAGCGTGATATAGAAAATAGTATGCAAGCATGGTATGCAGCTACTTTCTACTAGCCTTGACAATGGACAATGGCGATAACCTTTTTGTGTGACCTTTTTACTATGCACTATATCTGATCATTGGCCGCTTTTTTTTTAATATATTCACACTTTCACAGCAAAAGAGGATTAGTATACAGTATATTAACATATATAATTTATTTACATGTTGTATCAAATGGTAAGGTTGGGTCTATCATTATGTATAGAAGGCGTAATTTAAATAATATAGGTGAAAGCTATTTATAATAAGCACGATGTTGAATAAATTGGACACTTTGAAATTTCTATAGTAAGCAGTTAACAGTATTAATTAACCGTACGTCGGCTTCAGAGTATTTGAGCGTTGCTCGCAGCAGTTTTCAGTTATTACCTTGTCTTATTGTTGTGGTAAAGGAGGATTTTTCACTATGGAGAATTTATCTGCTTTCTTGACTAATTTCGATGCAGATACTCATATCCGCTGGGCTGCAAATCATTGGCATTTGTCGGTCTATATTGCCATCTTCTATATTGTTGCCACTTTTGTCACTCAACATGTTATGCAATCACGAAATCCAATGAATTTACGTCGAGAACTCTTCTACTGGAATGTTTTTCTTGCTGTTTATAGCGCTGTGACTAGCTATAAAACAATCGGCAAATTAATTTCTGTCTGGTATAATCAAGGCTTTTATAATGTTACCTGTACCACTTGGATGTTTTATGATGAGCAAACTAAATTCTGGATATGGCTCTTTCCCGTCTCCAAAATTGTGGAGTTGGTCGATACTTCCTTTATTGTCTTACGTAAAAATCGACTCATTTTTCTGCACTGGTATCATCACGCCACTGTATTAGTTTATTGTTGGTACGCTTATGGCAAAGCGGCGGGTACTGGAACTTGGTTTATTGCACTCAATGCCTTCGTCCATACCATCATGTATTCTTATTATGCTCTCAAAGCTACTGGCCAATTTAAAATATCCAAAAAAGTCAATTTATTGATTACCACATTGCAAACAGTGCAAATGATTGTTGGCTGCGGTATTAATACATATGCTGCTCATAGTCAATTCATCTTAGGTAAAGATTGCACTATTACAAAGAATCTTCTCATGGCTTCCGGCGTAATGTATTTTAGTTATTTGGTTTTATTCGCCAATTTCTTTTTCAAAACTTATCTGCGATCGCCAAAACCCAAGGAAAAGCTTTCTTAATTCATATTTACAAGTAAGACTACGGAATAGCGTTGATAAAATTATTCCCGATCGTATTATGACAGTATTCAGTCTTTATTTTTGGATGTACTTGTATACAAATTCTGTTCTGCATAGCGTAATGAAGTACTGATCAATGAGTAAGATGCTCCTTACACTCTCTGGGATAGCAATGACAAATTCTATTTAAATATATCAATAACCTCTTCGTGATAGCCTAGTATCAAGCGACACTGTCATTTCACGAGAATAGCATCGATCATGGCGACTGTTTACACTTAACTTATTTTGATGTGTAGCTTCATTAATATGATTACGATTGTGAACATCAACCAAGTGTATCAGGACAGTCAATGACAGTGGTAAAACAGAAGGGAAGATAAATGTAGCTGTGTACCTTTCGGCAAATTGTTTCAGTAATCTTAGGCTGTAGTACTAATTAATTGGTAGTAATAATATTGGCTACGCGTACAGCATGCCTTTACTGTGTTTCAATTGTGTAACCCCGTTAAACATAGATTATAAGATTATAAGAAAGCTGCTTGAATCAGAAGAAATAAAATGATTTTCTATCGGATTAAATGCTCTAGCTTTGTCGTTGATTGAAAGTCTAGTGTCTCTTACTACATTAACTTGAACGTGAACTACTGTGGATATCCATTTTGGATTGTTGTCTACATGGCACCAATATCATAGAAAGTGAACAGTGATCCTTTCTATCAGTAAGACACCATCGTCTTTCTGTAGTTCTGGTTAATCCAATGGCGACTGTTGTAAAGCTTTATACTGTACAGTAGATGTTTCAATCTAACTTAACAATCGATCAAAATTTGTAGAATGCAGTGTACAGATGTGGAAGAACATTGATACATAAAATCGTCGAACAGCTGATGGTCTACTTTTGGCTAATGACTATGCAAGAATGATAATGATCAACGGTTTGCATGCAGCGTTGATTATTTTAAATCGGTGCAACGGGTTATTAATCAATACAGTTTGTAACATCCACGACAGGATAACAGTACCGTAATCAAAATCCTCACTAGGGAGGGATACTGTATTACTAATTGTTTGCGAACTTCCAACATGCCAAAATGATCGTGCCAGCTGGGGCTCACGCCTGCGGAATCCATTTTACGTGTGTGAAAATGTGGATGTAAATAGAGTTGCATTCTACGATATCATGATTGCAATGAATCAATCTGTCAAGCATTCAACTGTGCTACCCGCAATTTTGTCTATTGCAAACTTAACTGTTACCGATTAAGAGTTATCAATTATTTCCAGCATACAGTAATAGCAATTGCATAATCGTATACTTGACGTATACCTCTTCGTGGATCTATAGTCAGGCGATCGCAAAGGTAGCATCGAAATCTGCAATCAGCAGTAGGTCTACCACGTAATAAAAATAAATAAGAACTAGCACAAATATTAAAATACCTCACTGACCACTAATATAATCACTGTACTGAGTAGGGAGTTGAATGATCAATAATAATTCGAAAGCATAGTTGCACTAGTGTGTCGACAGGTAACAGTACATTAGTTTGGTTAGCAGAAACGTCGACAATAGCACTATCGGGCTATTTCATCCTATCATGTCTTGATATTGCTGTCTCTACCAGTTAAAAGAAACTTTACTGAATTATTGAATTGCTATTTAAGAGCTGGCACTTAACGTCAGCATCCAATTGTCAGCTACGTGCAGTACAGTTGGTAACAGTAAATGACATGAATTGTAGGAGAGTTTCAAGAAATAAAAATTGCCTTTTAAATTCAAATAATTCAAATCGTACTTTATTCACAGTAAAGATTCAAAGTTTTTTCTATAGTATTACAACTGTGATATTTCGATTATTTCTTGCCAGCACCTTTAGTTTGTTCCTTCACGAGTCGTCGAACAATCTTTTGCTCTTCGATCAAGAAGGCTCTAACAATTCTGTACAAAAGATCAGTGCATATCATATGTTAGTTTGAATGCTGTACTACACAAATTGAGGTAGTTAGTCATTTGCACAAGTATAACAATCACCACTCACCTTTCTCGAACAGATTTAGCACACAGGCATCCACCGTAGGCTCTTGAAACAGACTTTCTTCGTTTGGACATAATTTTAAGTTTCTTGGGCCTAACAGAGCGAATCTAAATAATATGGAAGAGATCCGATTACAAACTACTATCAAACATCCAGCTAAATCGTTCTTTGCAAGTATTTACCAATACAGTACAGTACAGTTGTACATGCATCAGCCGAAACATAGCATTGCCGGACATAAAATGATTACTTTGCATCATTTTTTAAATCAAGAACGGTGTTTATACTACAGATGATGACTCAAGCAGCTTAGGTGATGGAATCGAAGCACGACTAAATTCGATTCGATCTGGCTGCTCGACTAAAAGAACAGAGGTGAATAATGAATAGTCATTATAAAGATCGCCATCTACAGCGTGCGATCATTGGTAGATATGCTATTTGAACAAGCTGCATCCAGTTCAGCTATACAGTGATTATAATTGAGTAACTATTGCAAGCTATATCAACGTACTCCTCTCAAGGCAGTCTTCGTATCGCCACATTTTGGTGCAGAGCCAGGCTTCTTTACATAATGATATACCAAGCGACCACCTAAACATTAACGTCATATCGATGCAAATCAGTTTAACGTTGTAATTTATAAAACATCAAGTAGAATAGCCTTGATTATTTTAACCACTACAGTAACAATCGCTGATGTAGTCCATCAATGCAGTTACGGTAATTATCCATTGCCACTATTGGCATGTTTGTATGGTAAGTATAGTCACTATATGGCCAATTATCATCAAGCCATTTGTAGTAGTGATTGCACTATTTTTCACTGATTGTAACGGAAGAAATAAGTAAAAATATGTTGCTCTACCTGGCGTCTTCACCCTAAATGAGAAAAAATAAGACAAGAAGAGAGTTTATGGCTTGTTAATTCAATTTCAAAAGGGAATGTAGGCTTAAAATGAATCTAAAATACAGTAGAAGCTATCACATGGAAACTTACACTTTTCTCCTGTTGGATTTAGTGTTGTAACTGAGTCGGCGTCTTAAAGTAACGCGTACGTTCACCATGATTCAACTATAACGGATAAAATGAAACTCGCCATTAAAAAATTGTTTTACCTTGTTCATAAAATAAAGATTTGTTGAAATTGTGTACGGATGGCGACGAATTTTCGTCGATTTACTGACCTTGTAAAAATGGCTTCCAACGCACGGCAACGATTGAAGGACTAGAAGGAAGAATTCTATGTGCGCACGCGCCTATATACCGAGTGAGTTGATTTTGACCAGCTCGACGTCGAGATGACTATACCGTACCATACAAGATGCTCATCGCAATGCAATAGACTTGGAAAGGTAGGCAGTTTATTGCGGTATATGGGGGGAATCATTGGTGATAGTTGCTACGATACACCTTAAGAATCGTTCTAATAATTCTTAAATAACAAGATAGTTTTCCAATTTCTTTTGGATAGCACACAGAAGAAGAGTTGATCAAAATAGTTTTTTCAATTTTATACAGAATTTTACGGCGTTCACGAAATTACACTAACTGACAGAAACTCATCCCGAATAGTGAGATACCGCATACTGTAACTGTATAGTGTTCTATACAGTGCTGTAGAAGAAAAATTGGACTGGACTGGACTGACCGACCACTTGGACAGACGGACTTTTCTTACCCAATGAGGCCTTAAATATAGAAAAATGGCTACAGTGTACAGTACTGCAGTATTCACGAATTGTGCGATACAGTACTGTACTGTACAGTACTATAGCGAGCATAGACTACTAGAAGCAAAAGGCCTAGACTGAACTGATCATCCCCTCAGACAGACGGACTTTTAAAACTAATGAGGCCTTAAAATATCGAAAAATGGCTACTTGGTATAGCAGTCGGACCCACCACTGGTCTCTAGCACGAAATTCTTAAATCATACGATACAGGATAGTCAATTGAAAACATCGGAGTTGCGTATAATCGGAGTAGTCAAGTTTATGGTAAATTAAGTACTACAACTATACTGTACTATCCGCCAAGCATCCAAAGTGGCTACTTGGTTGTTTTGATACAGTGTGGTGGACGGTTTCAGTGATCGCGTATAGTAAAATAACCAGAAGAATGATAAACCCCCTGGTTATTTTGTACTGAATGGCCTGCCACCAGGCGTCTCTCTCTCAACAGCTGATATTATCGCTGTTGGTCTGGAACGATACGGTCTATGAGGGAACCATAGTACAGTCTATTGTCCGGTACACTGTGCACTGTACAGTACTTTCCGCCTTTGATCCTCAAAGTATTGTACTGTACAGTACTGTACACTGTACAGTGTACAGTACAGTAGACGCTTTTATTATCCTTATTATTATTATTTATTTATTTATTAATTCATTAATTATTTTATACGGAACGGCCACCCATCTGGCATCCGTCTCTCTTTCCATACAGTAGCATGAAAAACGAGCAGTACAAACTATAGTATACTGTATCATGTAGCACTTGCAACTTATAGAGCACACTGGCAAGTGGACAATAGGAATTAATGCAGCTGTCATGTGGTGTCGTCATTGTTACGCAAGCAAGCTGGCGCCAAAATTCTTCAGCTTGAATGGCCGATTGGCCGAAAATTTCTAGCGGATGCTCCTCAATATTATTTCATCGTATCCTACGCTCTACTTGTTCCATTTTGCTATTGCAAGGCATTCCAATAAACTAAGCTTAGTGTGTAGTTATCTTAGTGTCCATTAGATATACTCTACGGGTGCTTTACTATTGCAATGACATTACGATTTCTTGTCTAAACCAGACAGCACCATCTGACTCCAATTCAATTGCATCAACGTACTAGCCGAAGCAAAGGTGAAAGTAGATTATCCTTGGTAGCATTAGCAACGATGGCTTTCTATTGGGGTCGTTGCTTTGCTTGTCGAGATAGCACCAACCAGATAGTATCGTTCAGTCGATATTTTTCTCCTATACAATATCGAAGCCAATCGACTGCAGTTCATCGACTCACGCTACAACAATATCGACTTCGAGAGGAGCTGGAGAGAGATCACAATCAATGCCGACAAGCATTTCTCAATGGAAAATTTGCAATATTTAATGGAAATAAGCCTTATATGACAAGGACAGATCGTGGTAATTTGCTCATGACCAAAGTAAACTATCAAGGTATGGAGACACGTCTATGCATTGTCATTGATTGTGTAAGGGTTAGCATCCGTATTAATTTACCCCAATTTCCATCGGCTAACGTTGTCGGTGCCTTCTGGCTTGCTTAATGTCTGTAGAATGTACTGTTATGAATTAGAAGTCATCAATAGCCCATGACAGACCTGGACGTCTCTCACAATATCACTCAGCTAAATAGTTTTGCGTTGACCAAAGTGCATAAATAATTTGTAAGTGAGGGATGATTTTATTAGTCATACAATCCACTGTAAACATTCACAAACGTATTGCACAGTAAGTGCTACGACGGTAAACTACTCTACTATCATATTGTTTGATTGATCCAACTTTTAGCTGAAATAGGCGTACGAAGAGGCACACCAATACATGGGCCTCCCACAAAGAAGTGCTAGATAGTGGATCAGTGCCTGTAATGTACAGTAAACAGTATAGTTTACATGGGAAATGAATACTTTTAGCTAGTATTCGATTCCATTCGCCATTACCTCATTGTGTATGGTCAATGGGTAGGTATACTACTACAGTGTAAGATTGATTGTTACTTCGCTTAAGTAGCGATTAGACTAATATTGCTTGTTTATTGGTATCATTGAATTACTATAGATGTACAAAAACTTGTCAATATGGACACTGACAATTATGAAGTTCCAAACTTTGTCTTCCTCGGACTACATGATAATAGGCCTTTCTTCGCAATCGATGTAAGCCAGTGTTCAAGCGATATTCTGCCTAGCCCGAATGAAATAGAAATATCGCAGCCAGGAAAATTCTACAGTTGCATGCGAAGCCTGACATTGATAGAACACAGCGAAAATTCTCTCTTTCTAAAGGTATCATCAAAAGTTCACACCTTGACCAAGAGTATAATTTTAGACTTCTGACAAATATCAGTTTTAATTACTGTCAGTGTCGTCTCATTAGACTTTGCATTGTGAATCTTTATGCTATAATTGTGTAACCATACTGCACCACCAGTTAATTATGGTAAAATACAATAAATGTGAATTTTATCCTGAAAATAATGGCAATATTGGAAAAATTTCATCCTTCATAGGCATTATCACTCATCCATTTTCACAAAACAATCTCATATTGCTCAAGATGTGGTAACAAAACATATCGATATTTCAGTGGCAGCAGAAGATACTGTATGAATTGCCGTGTTACATTTTATCCGCAGGTAATATATAAAAATAGTATCTACGCGTAAATTTATTCTGGTTGCTTTAGCTTTCACTGTATCAAGTATGTGATTATTAGATAGCTTGAGATGGCGTATATCATATTCTTTGTAATCATTTTCGATGCAACTTAGGTGTCGCCAGTTGTTGCTGCCTTGGTCATTCGGGATGGAGAATGTTTACTTGCTCGTCAACCTAGTTTTCCGGAGGGGCTATACAGTGGTTTAGCCGGTTTTTGCGAACCAGGTGAATCTCTAGAGGAATGTGCGCGTAGAGAAGTTGCTGAAGAGATCGGTGTGCTTTCAGAAACAGTAGAATTTCAAGGGACGCAGGGTTGGACACTGGGTATCGGCGATACCTCCTTAATGATAGGTTGCTATGTGACTGTAGACTCTTCCGCTGAGGTAAATAAGTGATAAGGATATAATAGTTGTAAATGCACAAGTACGTATATGTATTTTGCACACTGGTTTTTTAAATCATTAATGGAATATCTTGTTCGTAGATCAATATAAATGGTCTGGAGTTAGAAGACGCAAAATGGTTTACACGTCAAGATGTCAAGAAATTAATTGCTTGTACGCCGAAACCTATCGCTATTAATGGTTTGCCTGTATTTATCCCACCACCAGTAGCTATTGCTCATCAGCTACTTTCAGATTGGGCAAATAAATGCTAAGAAATATTCTTCACAACACTGTGTAATACGCGCATAGAATTATTTAGGTCATGTACAGAACATGCGATATAGAAACAGTGTGTAGTAGTCAGTAAAAGCTGATGACACTCTGCTTCGTTATGCTTATATTATCTATATTTACTATATTATGATCTCAGTTGTAAACTTATTGCATTACTAGCTGAGAAAATGTTGATAATACAGACTTATCCTGTTGTTGGTATTGATGTAACTGATCAGTGCTATCAAGACTAGTAGATAAATATGGCGTATTAGTTGTAATAGATGATGCTTTGGCATCTTCGGGATGAATGAAACGATCTTATATTTCCTATCACGTTACGAATCCAATGTAAATGGATGTAAGATTATCGTAAATCTTTACAATATTTCTATGTTATCGATCCAACGTTATTAAATGTTGACCATCATTTTATGATAAATTGAAAGATGTTATTATTAACTTTGCTTTTAGCGCTTTGTTGAAAAATAATGAAGTCTAAGGAAAATTATATTTAAATGTTAAGGGCAATATACGATATTATTAAAGTATTCGACAGATCGTGACCATTCTAATTTTGCATGATAGCTTGGTTTACCAAACGGAAACGATTGACTACAATACATAAACTCCCCATCTGATAGGCTCTAGTAATCTACCTTAAGTTAGCGGCTACTATGCTAGACAATCTGTAATAAGCATCCTGTAAAGAAACATGCGCGATGTGGTTTCTTTATTCTGGATTTATCCTGTGCCTTAACTAATTAGCATAACATTGCTATTGTACAATACGACTAGTATAATTTGTTAAGCGTCATGAATAAAAACAAATTGATTAAAGATGATCTGTGATATAGAATACAGTAGGAAATATGAAGATCTTGTTATTTTAATAGTGAAGTTATTGAGGTAATATTCTAAGACGCTGTATTGTGTCTAATCATTGATCAGAGTTATTATCCCGCATTGCTGCACCGGTCGTAAACCAGGTAATTTATCTTAAGGTTGCTATGGTAACTAAGTAAGAGTTGTATACTTTTGCTATTTCGACGTACTGCAGTATAGTGGAATGATAATATTTCGGATAGATTCGATTTTAATCGTGCTATCAGAGCTGTCTAAATTTACTAAATTTATTTACGGATTGCAGTTATAACTTTATGAAGATAGAGGGATATCGGATCGATAGCTTATAAGGTAATCAAATTTTAAATTGTGTTACTTATTGACAGTATAATTTGGTTTTGATCTTAATCTTCCTTTTTATTAAATTTCTATGGAAGAGAACCACAACCCTAATAGATAATGTGATCTTAATTTAGATTAAAAGAAGACACAATCACGTCAAACATATAAATTCATCTTTAAAATATTCTTAAAGTGGACGCAGTTAAATAGATTAGGAGAGTGAGTTGATTTGTTTCGATTATAGTATTCTATTTCAGATTAGAATTGTAGTCCGTAATTTAGTGATCATTCATAATCACATTTCGTTAAATTAGTGCATTAGACGTCGTAGCTGGATAAATAGTGAAAAGATTGTAAATGTCAAGGAAACTGTTAACTTTTGAAATAGATTAGATATGATGGAATAATACTCAGAAATATCACATATGAAACCTCTTGTAAGAATTTACTGGTCGAATTTAACATCCTTTATGGTGCAGTGCAGTTTGCTGATTCATCTTGTTTCGATAGATTGATGCTTTCAAATTTACTATTCTATCACGACGTATTTACCATGCTTTATGTTCCATAAGCAGTAGATTAGTCATGTAATGTAAAATATCCTTGTTCGTCATTCATATTCTATATATTGAAGGCCTTTTACGTTAATTTACGTTGAGATAATCGTACAGTTTTATAATTTGTTGTGATCTAAGTTGATACTTTTATTCTTGCTAATTTCTCAATCACCAATATGTATGAGTTCGTTTAAGTAATGAATGTGTTTATGTTGATTATGTTATTTCTCTAAAAGATAGAATAACTGATTTAAACTATATAATCTTATGGTTGCATGCTATATCGAGTTAGATAAATAATACAACTTCAGGAGAATTGATAAGAAAATGAATGATTACCATAAATATTTATAGGTGGTTTTCATCCAATCATCTATTTTATTCACCCATTCTCTGAATAGATAGAGTTAATTGATCAATGATCATGAATTTTTCAATGTCTATATTGGTTTTTAGATTGATTAACAGTTACATATCAGTTATAGAAATAGACTTATCGTTTCAAATCGAATTAACCCACTAATCTCAGTGTAATCAACTCATCATTTCGCTAATAGAAAATGATTTCAGCTGATCCGAAAGCGAAAAACGCTTTAAATACCTTGGGTATTTTTAGCGAAATGAATTACATCAGTGTTGGCGATCCATATAAAAACAATATCCATGCAGGTAATGTAGGCAAATGACTAGTAGTCAATATTTCTTATATATTCGTATTACGTTAACAATAGCACTTTTTAATTAGTAAATATGAAATTCTATATTCTATTTAATACTTGGAGTTATACTGCCATCAGATTCGTTAATGGCCTTTCATGCATCTTTGTATTATAGATACTTTTAACGTCAATGCACATAAAGGCAAACAGATGTTACCGGGTGGAGGTAGAATGAAATGTGGAAGCAATGATGGCTATTTCCGCGAATTTAGTCGTGTTATGGAGGTAAAGATGTGATCTTTTAAGATTATCTGATAATAATACATCTACTACAGTAATCCTTCTTAACTAATTTGTAAATATCGCTTTGTCTATTGTTATATTAATTCAACATGCGTATATAGCGTTTGATTACGTCGAATGCGAAATAACAACAAGTACTTTCGTTAGTTTCATGTGCTTATATAGATATTTTTGATAAACAAAACTGCAGCTGTTTTGCGATAACATCCTTTACATATTAGACATATTAAAGCATAGCCTGAATCGTTATAGGATTAGGGGTTTAATTGCATATTATCAAAGGCGAAATAACGACATATTAAAGAGCTGCTGTATTATTGCTTCGTAAATAAAATGCTTTAAAGTACTAGTTTTAAAGACTCGTAGAGATATTCTATTCGATCATAATACACCCATTTTCACCTTGTAATGTAGGGGGAATCCTATACTGATATATTAAAGACTCGCCGACAAGATCGAATTAAAGATGCTAAAAAGAATAAAGGCAAAGCATTTATACCTACCCATGGCGATATAAAACCGTAAGTTTAGGCTTGTCCATATTAGATTATTCGACTACTGGCAGCGATATCCACAAACTAGGATATAGTGTACGGCATTACTATCACCAGAATTTCATAGTATATAAAATTTTAATTCATTTAATTCAGAAATGGCGTCGGAACTTATTATGGAACATTTAGTGGAGTTATACCAGCTTTTGATCCTGTTACCCGAAGTCAGCCTAAGGCAAGAGTTACCAAACGGAATATTATGACTAATCCAGCCAAGAAAGGATCCGGATATGGGTAAGTTTCTGTGTATGAAAATTTTCTTCAGATGTGTTCTAATATAGCTCATTAAAAGCGAAAATGAACTTGATAAAGATGTTAAAATTAAGCATGATTGGCTAATATGAGCGATGTTTCGTCGTCTACCTGTAATAATTGACATAACAAACACCATTAAATTAATTTCAATTTTTGTGCAATAATAATAGATACGCTGATGTGACTATCAATCCATATCCAAGCTATTCCTCAGAAGAATACGACAAAGATAAAGATATCGCTATGGTTAGACTTTTATAAAAATTGAATGTTTTGAATTAGTCCTAATCTTGAAGTTACTTAATTTTTAATTAACTAATCGTTCCCTATATTATGACGGTGTAGGATGAAATTAGAGAGCATTATGAAAAAAGAAAAGGTGCAGCATTTAAACCTGCATTGAAAACAGGAGCTTATTTCGATCAGAATCCATTTAGACCTTATGAAAAGCGTATGTATTAGAGCCGTTGAGATAGTAATTTATAAGTAAAATGCATTTATTGACGCGAAATACAAATATAAATACCGTCGCATTGAGTAAGATCAAAAAGAAGGAAGACAAATGTTTGAACTCTGTAGTGTTACTCAAAAGGGTTTTAATCTATGTGCAGAATCTAATTCTCGAACACAAAAGCAAAGAAATATCCCTAAAGAAAAGAAATTAGTCAAGCCTTTTAAGCCTACATCACCAGCTAAATCGGTAAGTTTGAAATAGTATTTTTCGGACGTTAAAAGTTGATCTGCTGCTTTTCATAAAGTCTTATTATAACTGAATAAATGATTAGATCTATTAGTAATTTGACCTGTAAAGTATCTAAATCAATTAAAATAGATCTTGAACGGTACAATGAAATTTCAATTCTTTATTCACATAGCCTGGGGGTTGTAAAAGTGGATGTTTTAGCCCTTATCCAACTCATTCTGAAGAAAGAGGTGGCAAACCAATTAAACAATATTATACCGGCAAACCGATTGGTAAAGGTGTTTTCATACCTCCATCAGTCTCTAAATCGACAACTTCAAAATCAATTTTAAATATGTCTGTTACAAGGTAAAGTAAAAAATATCAGCTAATAATAGCTGGATTATGAAATTATACCGGATAGTACCTCAATATTTCGCCATCTCATTATCGTCATATCTTTATTTCATTTAGGAAAATTAACCCTTCCAATTATCGTCAATAACGATCACTCTTAAAAAATATTGGAAGGAGATGACCTAGAAAATCAGGGAATAATCTCTAAACTATTTGCCTGGCATGTTGTATTATTTATGGCTACTGTAATAACATATTTTCTGTTGTTCTTTCCTCTAGTTTTATTTCATTATCATCGTCTGGAAATTAGTCTTATAAATTTTTTTTGTAATACTGTAGTTGTAAATGCTCATTTCGTACCTTATATCGCAACCAGAATTATGCGAGAGGAATATTTTTATACATCCTATAGCGTATTGATAATAAATGATGGGTTAGGGGCAAAGATGCCATGATTCGGTTGATATTATGATGGTATGACAATAGGCGTAGAAAACCTTACGAGAATTTAATAACAATTGTATTCATGTCAAGTACCATGCAGAGTATGTGTCATTTAGCACTAAGTTAAATTGACTAGATTAAACCAGTAAGTTACTACGCTTATTCACTATGAGTTTGCAAGACTTTATCCATATGATGTATTATTATATGATAGACAATATTATTGATGAATACAATGATACTGTAGCAGTTCAATATTATCAATGATTCTGTTATAACAAGACACTATTTGAGAACCTAATCTTTAAACTCGTGATCTTGGCAAAAGATTCAATAAAGAACGAACATCTTGATGTTCAATTTACTCATTGTTTCTGTTGGCTAAATGGCTTCGCTGTAAAAAAAATTAGTTGGTACTAGCGCAATGTATCTTGAATATAAGTCATGGCTGTAATCAAAAGTAATACTATAAATTTAAAGAGCTTTTTACTTTATTTCTGGTTCATCAAGAAATATTTAACAAATTGGACAAATCAGGTTTAATGAGGCGTTGTACCTTAAATAATTTTCTAAGAAATGATAAATTGTAACTTTATAACTTATTTGTGCTAAGTAGAACATGAAATACATTCCTCCTAAGCTCCAAATAGTTTACGAAATCTTTATAGTAATGTACGTATCTATTACATAACAAGGCAGTTTTTACACTTGGTTCGATGTGAGTAACTGAAGTAAAAATTGTGCAGTTGAAGAGTGTTTGCTGATGAACTATCTTCTCCCTCTACAATTGGAATTTTTTCGATAAAACAGAACAACACAGTATTAGTTTTACACAGTATAGGCTGTCGATATATTTTCTCGGAAATAAGCCAGTGAAGTATACATTATCGCCCTACAAACAATAAGAATTAGAATCAATCAAGTATGGTATTAGCAACGACGAAGGTGACTAAGAGCAAACTTTAATATATGGTAATATAAATAATTTAAGTGATAAAGAAGCGGTGATACAGATATGTATTATCTTATTTATGTTCTATACGCGTATGTTATACGCGACAGAAATTTATTATATATACCTCCGCGGAAACCTCCACGAAATCCACCGCCTCCTCTACCTCTGCCGCGAAAACCGCCGCCGCCTCTATTTCCGCCACGCGATCCACCGCCTCTATATCCACCTCGTGATCCACCACGGAATCCGGAGCCACCTCTGCCCCGTCCTCCTGCAATTAGTTTAACGAATGATATTAGGCCACATTGAACTGCTATATAAATATCCTGACGGGCTATAAAATCTATATGTTATACCTCCACGTCCTCGTCTGGGGCCACCAGGAGTACCTATTGATAATTAGTTATTAATATTCGTCAAATTGTACTTTTAATTTATTCTTTAAAATTGTTAGCTTCAAGAGTTGAATTATTCAAATTTTAAGCTAGTTCGTAACTGCATTATGGTGACAAGAATTTGTTCACCGAGTATTGAGATTAAACTTATTTAGACTTGAGAAAGTTGCTATGCCCATGATATAGTATTAGCAAAAATTATCAAAGCACAGAAATTTCCTCGATTAAAACATGATTATGCGTATTGATTAATCAATATTACAGTAAAATTATGCAATATGAGATGAGCTTATTTTGTAATTTCGTTTAAAAATGAAATACTGTATGAAGCGGAGCTTTACTCACTTTGGCCAGAGGATTTGGGTAAAAATCGAGCAAGAGGCAACAATTTTGCAGGATCGATAAAGAACTATAAATATGCCAGTAACGAAAAACTTTCTGGTAAGAATTGAGGCTGTTAAGGCGTAATTTATCAACAACTATAAGAGCATAATCAAATCGCATGGATAATGTGATGTCACTTAATTATACTTACCTTTTGGCTACTACTAAAAGACGATGCACCCATATCTGAGGATAGTTTGATCGTGAAATACTAATCAGAAGACAATGATCATGGTCAAAGCAATGACATTGAGTTAGCAGGTATCATCATGATGAGCAATTTAAGTCTTGTTGTAGCAAAATTAGGATCATTACAAGAGAATACTACAACCTACATACGTATGTTCTCTTTAAGTAATCCAAAGATTACTAGTTGAAATTGACCATGTCAATATTGCTGTACGGTATATTTACTGTATATACGTGCGATAATAAAGGTTCTAATTAATCATCTCAAGTCACTATGCCTTACTACTACCGGCTTACTATAATATACGTGTACAAGTTGTGTTTTTGATACTTATTGAGAGAATGAGGCTTCTGTAATTATCAAACTAAACGCGAGTACTGCTAAAGTTCAATCCCAGGATTGATATCATGGTGAAGTTGTAGGATTTTTCAACTCTTACCCTGTCGTTCATAGGACCAAAGACGTCATCGATTTTTCCAATTTGAGATTTACTTTCTAAATAAATTGGAGCATTGAAGAATGGAATCTTATCGCTTGTACACTTGCAAACCAAGTCTCCTTCGCAAGGATGAACAACATATCCCAATTCTGAAAGGTAGAAAAGCAGATCTTGAGTTACTAAGGTTACGATTTCATAACAGCCAACAGGTGATAGTGTTGATCTAACAAACGACTTTATGAAAAATAGCAAAGCATACAGCGCAAAACGAAGTTGAACGGAGCAAGTTGTGATGAAGTTAGCGTGCGTTTAGTAATTACGAGTAAAATTAGATAACTACGGGTATAATATCCAAATTCTGAAGGTAGAGATATCCTTGGTTACTGAGGTCATGATTTCGTCGCAGTTTAGTTGCGATGTTGTTGGTTTAGTTAATGATTTGATAGAAAATTCATCAGTAAAAGTATACCTTCTAAAACGTAATTGCAAAATTGGACAAGCTGTCATGATACGGCATCGATATTTATAGCAGGTACGATTAAAAGTCGTATATGAAATCTAAGGTAGTATTCGATCGGCAGGTAACTTATAATTGGAAATATATCAGGACTACATTCCACTTTCTCTACTATATAATTTATTAGTTAAATCAAGTTGCATAGGATAACTTATCATGATGTACAGTAGCACCTAATAATTCGACATAATCGAATAGTTTGATTGATTTGGTGGTGGATGCAGCTTGAGGTTGATAACATCAAGGCCACATATCTGTGATAACAATCCAATAAGGTAACGTCAACTAAGAGTATTGATCACCATGAAGCATCCACACAGTAAGCATGGGTGAAAATTGGATAAAATTCATTAGTTGACACGTTCACTGTAGTTTGAGCTAGATAATAACTAATCGTATAATTGATGTGGAATGAATGATCGTTGTATAATATAATCCAAATCCAGTTGGGATACGCTATCATAACGTACGCGTAGCATTGGTCCGTTTAGCATCAACGCCATTACATAAAAAAATGGAATATTCTGCGTGATAAGTATACTACATGTTAAGCATTATCATTACTATAAGTTATCATCGTTTTATGCAGGTTACATGCATAGAATCAATTAATCAGAGGGATAAGAGGGTTGATGGAGAGGATAGCCTAGCTCAAGATACAAGGATGATCGCTACCTTTATTGATCAACATTTTTACCTGCACTTTACATGTACGAACACTAAGTTGACAGTCACGCTGTCAGCAGATATAACGAATAGAACGGTGATGCTGCTGTAATCTACAACAAATTAGCATCAAATTAGACCTATCTAGAAAGAGTAAATGCCTATTTGAACCTGTGACTATCTCAGGAGGGCCATAATCTTGCTCGAAAGATCGATTGCCTCCACCGCGACCACCTCGTCCTCCTCGGCCACCTCGGAAACCTCCACGACTTCCTCGTCCACCTCTGAAACCACCACCACCACGAAAACCGCCACCACTATTGTTATAAGGCATGATAGATTGGATATTTTACCGATATGACTGTTACCGTTAGGTCAAATCCAAACTAAACTGACTGAACAACTAATCTTGCACTTGAAAAGTGGCAATACAACGCCGATTGAGATATTTTTACGGATTAAATGGACGAAATTGAAGCAAAGCAAAGCGGACGCAGCATGCACCTGCAGCCTTGGAGCGATGTGGTGCTAGACTGATGTAGTAGAGTGTTTGATTCAGTATCACGTAGCACTGCTACAACTAGGGATAACAACAGCAACAGTGGGCTTAGCTAGTGGAGTCGACGGCATGCTGTAGTACAGTGTTTCATTCAGTAGTTTTAATCTCTTACTGTTGCTGTTGTTTGCAGCGTCAAGTTGAAAATGTATCGATTGTTGGAGACAGTATGGCTATTGAATGTTTGATTCAATACTGTACGACCAATACGATTACTACAGTTGATGTTGTGGTTATTGCGCTGCCTTACTGATCCTTTTTCTCATACGACTTCATATAGTGTTGAACTCAGAAATCCATTAGGGCTTGATCTACTGTAGTTATTTTAATAGATTGGTTAGCAATCCATGGCCAGAATTGGATTACTCTTCCTTTTATGCATCGAGTACTACAATAGTCAATAATCAAATAATGAGAGCATTTACCAAGACCATCATAGCTATCATGGGCATCGGGTAAATGTCCTTAAGATGCAGGGTAATTGTGCTATTCGAGATGTCTGTTACTAACGGCAACCCACAGCTTTCTTATTTAAAGTCCATGTGAGAAATAAATCTGTAGAGAATAACACGTTATTAAAATCGATATAGGTTATTGGCGTATGCTGGAGTAACTATGGCATCGCTAATGATGGTATACGCGAATATTATACGTCGTATATCCATCCATATAGACGCGTATGTATATGTATATCCATAGAGACGCGTATACATATGTACTTACTGCATATCGAACTAAAACGTCGTGCTATCGCCAAGTTGAAGATGCAGCACTGTAGCCTAACATGGCATAATATAGATTAATATGTACTTACATAGAATGTTTTATAACATGGGTATATTCAACATACAGCTATGAGTTGGATAGCCCCTTTCATGCTTAACTAGTTCGATAAAGTTGGATGCACACATAACAAAATCACTAATAATAAATATCATCATTTCCTTTACAATAGTATCAGTAACTAATATACGCGTATATAATTTCTCTCATATCTATAAAATCTTTGTCTCTAGGCGAATCTGAGAGATGCAAGAAAAAATAAATAATAATAATGTTACTATCTTCGCTTCGTCAGCAACAAATTTTTCGCGAGAGTATGAAAATTTAAAATTTGTAATGTTATTGTTTTTTTTTTATGATGAATATTATTCCATCTCCATGTAATTGTAAATTCGTAACATGCATGGTGTCTAAAATCATGCAAAATAGGTATTCATCTAATATTACCTAATATTACATAGTGTACTAGAAATTGGCCCGCTCTCGATAGCAACAGTGCATATTCAACATTAAACTATCCTTGACTGACATACTACTATGTGAATAGGGAACAACTTTGGGTGATCATTAAATATTATTACTTAATAAAGTATCATTATACTAACTCGGTTAACCGTAAATTTTCACTTCTAAATCAACTAATACCAATTATAGATGTTATCGTTCTGATTATTATGTAGTTTGACGTCTTAAAATCAATTCATAATTCATGTATACATTTACTTAGCTTTATTAATCATTGGTACGATTAATTTATAACAGTAACGTGTAAGTGGAGGTGATATAACCTCCAATCATGATTAGGTTGAAAATCTACTCAAAATGTGTTCGTACAGAACCATTACGTGTCTATAATAAAATAAAAATTCCTTATAGATATTACCATAAAATCATTTATCGATTGCTAAGGTACGCATATCGTGACTAAATGGAACTCACTAACGTATTTTAGAAACGCTACTGTCGCAGTAACGTTTTACTAAAGAAAGATTACTCATCACTTGTCGTACGGTCAATATCGAATACTCTTACTAAAGTAAGACTATTGAAACTGATCTCAAGATCAGATTCCACCTCTTTAATTAAAATGATAATTACAGCAATAGACGATAGTGTATCATTTAAAAAGTGAACATGATAAAAGTTAAGATCCACGACGATTTATTTTTAGAACTCTATCAAAGATTATTTTCTCTAAGTTCGCAAATGGATACTCAACGCAGACGGATACTCCATACGCAGCTAAGTACGATAAGGTAACCATACTTGCAAATAGATAAACCTAAAATTTGTATGCAGATGATCAGAATAATTCAGTGAAAGGTTGTTTAATTACGATAAAGTACCAGATATGACTTGAAGTCAGTAGCATATCCAATACAATATAAGAAGTGAAATTAGTTTATACAGTTATATCTTTTAATATTACAGACGGTATTTTAATCCGGTAATTATCTATTCGTATATCAGTATGCATACACCAATTTAACTTACAATTAATTCGGTCGAAAAGTAAAGACCTGATCTGTAACCCGAATAGAATACTTGAAGAACTATTGGATGGAGTAGATACGCCGTAAACGTCAAACGGCCAAGTGGTATCCAGAATTTCCACGATAGCACAGTATTTGCAAATACTAGGTATATAATAAATATAGAGTTATGCAATACTACTAAAAACGCAATTTCAATTTTTAATCGATGAGAATTCACTATTAACCGCTATTCATTCATCTTACCACCATAACCATTTTGACAAACATACACAACCCAACATAAACTAACAGACCATCCTAGTCTTGATGTTGCAAGATAAACAACAGTCCAAAATCTATTAAGCTCATTTTTCAAGCCGTAGACACAGGCTAATCCAAGTGATATTGATAGAACCCAACCCAATACTAATTTTATCTAGCAACATAGTGTTAATGTAACCGAGTTAACTTGTGATAAATGTTGTTTAAATTAGAAAGGGAAAACTCTTCATACGCTATTTGTAACATTATGAGTAAAGTCAGTGCTACTATTTTCATTAGAATTTTGCCGTTACCATTGAAATTTTACTACTTTGAAAGTTCTTCTCGTAGATCAGATATCCTAGCATCATACCGACAAGATATGGCTGTATCCGACAGTATGGCTTTACGTACATAACATCAGTAGGATCTCTATGTCTAAATATTAATAGTAACAATAGAATATATTAATACATTTCGATGCATTGTATTGGTGTGCCTGTTAATTAAAAGTGTAGAGCTATGTCTTTCATACATTCAATCTTCAGATACTAATATCGAATAAACATGTACGTATACGAAAGTGAATATGAATATAAAGGCAACTTGGATATAGAGAGGTAGCTGTATTATTTTTGTTATCATACCCTCCGCTTATTGTGTTCGCTATGAGTGAAGCATCGAATCTGTATACAGCAGCAAGGGCTGCACTAATACCAACGCTGATCATTATCAGACCAAAAGGTATAGTTAAAGCTTTACGACGAAATCTGAAAGCATAATTAAGAGAATAAGATGGAGCAGGGAGTCTGACGGTAAGAAAGTAAGTTTATAATCATTATTTAGACGTGAGGTTTGGATATACCTGTGTAATGGTATTATTATTGCAGGACTTATGATAAAAAATTGCATGTCTGCTGCTAGGTACCATGACCATCCTATACACTGAATAGGAACGTATAAATGAATTATTATATTCACACTTACAATAGCCAATTGCGCATGCAGATGATTAATACTTTTAGCGGTATGCCTAAATTGTTTTTCTTTATGATAATGCGTGATATCTCAGTGGTGATAATCCCTAAAGTTTACCTCTTTAGCTAATTGAGTTGGCCAAAAGTTGTTTATAAACAATAGATTTGTCCACCAATAACTAGTACATGCGTTTCCTTGTTGATTTACATACCACAACGGTCCAGAGGAGAGATGTGGCATTACATTTGTCCAGATAAGTATTACAAACATGTAAGTAGGAACTATCCTGATTTAAGAAACATTAAAGACTAGTTATCCCATAAACAAAATTAAAATCATTTATATAAAGATATTAGTAACTAAAACGTTTATTTTAATATCGGTAGTTACCGTAGGAATCGATGAATGTAAGATGTGATAACAGGAAATTTTCCACCTCTCTTATCCATTTCTCGAAGACTCAAAAGAGAAACTAGAAAACCACTAAAATTTTGGAATCATGATTAGATAAAGATTGAATCCATCGTTTATCACTATTAGAAACAAAAATATCGAAAGCTCCCTATGCTTAATATTATCTCATAAATTATAGTAATGTTCTTACCTGATAAAAAAGAAGCTATCAACGCAGAAAAATGCGTTGCTAACTGCTTGAAAAGTAAAGAAGTGTAGTTGTTCTAGGCCAATCACAACGTTTTCTGTAAAAGGATATTACGAGGACCCATTAACATACTTCTATATGCTCATTAATAAGCTACGCAATTAATCCGCGCAAATTACAGCTGTAGTACTGCACAATAGTAACTGATCAAAGATAAATTATGTTATTTGTAAATTGCAACAATACTTACCTAAATTCCCCGTTATAAGTGGCCAAAGAAATGTATGACCTAATATCACCCAAAACATACTGATGGTGCGTAAACCGTTAAGGCATAACACATTTTTAGCGGAACTGCTGGTGTTGAAGATAGCGATTGAATTTTTTCGTACAGAAAAGGCCAGTAAAAGTTCTGTTATTAAATGATTTTCCTTTTCTATAAAAATGAAAAGATAGATTTAATGAAGAATTGTGTAATATAAAGATCAGATATTTTATATTACTGAAATATACAGTAGTTCGTGAGATAGTTTATCATGAATTATTGCTTTAAAATATAGGTTCTCACCAACAGACAACGTATTCACCAGTGGAGTATCTTCATTAATAATAGGTTTGATAGTGTTGGCATCTTCGTAAATATGCAACCTCTGATCCTTTTTACGCATTTGGCATGCCTCAATAATGGTACCAACAATAACTAGGACTAATAATATACCACATAATACTCTGTAATAAAAATACATCGGATTCCATTAAGTACAATTACTAAAGTCAGTCTATTGTTAAAGAATAAATGCGAACAACATTATAAATTACTTCATGGTAATAATAACTGGCACTGAAATATATACATGTTATCCTGCTTTAAGCATGTGCACTTATATGATAGGAAAATGTGCAAGTATTTGCTTCTTAATTAGGCTATTACAATTGGTACTTTGCAGATAAGCGAATTTCAAATTATATGAGATGATCATTTTTACTTGCAACGCATCTTAAGTCTTACATTGTGAAAATACTGCCAAAAGTATAGGGAGATTCGTGAGCACAGTAGACTGTGCTACCGTATACTTTAACTGTCTTAATATGAAAGATATCTAATATAAGAGAAGTAAAAAGTGATTAGTAATTATAATCCATTAATGAAGATTATATGTAAAATACTATTGTGCCTTTCTTTCATATTTGCTCAATTTACGGCATCAAGGCAATCAAATAATGCAATTCTTACCTAACAAAAATTCAATTGATGAAGCGATATCCTGTTCATTGCAGCCTTTAGGTAAGCATACACCCCAACGTAATACCGAAGACTACAAATACACGTTTTAAAAATGTCAATTTGATTAATTAATTATGAAAGTTAATGGAAAAATTAATTCATTTGAGTTCTGATTGAAAGGCGAAGGAGTAATTATCATATATTATCAATGCTATGCTGATATGGATCCAGTTATGCCATATATTTACACTGTAGAAGACTTAACGCGATAGAATTATAATTTTCGCCATTTTGCAATTTACCATACCTGATTATGTTTCGGGTCAATGATTGTGGCTGCAACGGTACAGTAATGAGTAGTTTTTATGCTCAGACATTCATCGTACGAGCCCAGCCAAACTAAGTTACCGACTAAGATTCCAGCTCCTATTTTTCCGGTTGCATCGATTACTATAGGATTACAAGATATTATATATTAATTAAATGATGTAGTAAAAGATGAGCATATTGACACAGTCGGTAGTCTGTTTATTGTCAGCATTCTAACACGCGATCGGAAATGGTAAAAATTCAGGAGTACGGTATAGATTCTGACTGTCATGCACCATCGCTTGGGTCATTCAGGATCAGAATTATCGACATCAATACTGGTTGGGCCTTATACATGTTTACTTACTGCTAAGCGAGAATTTTTAAGATTATTATATGACCAGTATCGTTTTTGACTCGGTCGCGGCCGACCATGACTAATTTAGCGTTGACGGTAAGAGTTTCTAGAGGCCGTTCAAGTGATGATTACAAGTGTACGAATATCGTATTGATGAAGGCACTGATCAAATCGATGATTCAAGATTCAATCATGTATCCAGTATGAATTCTCATTCATCTGTATATATACACTTGCAAGATTAAGAAAGGAGTAATTCATTACTGGATGTTGAAATTTTGAATGATCTCGTTTAAAACTTTAAGTACAGTATTATTTACTGTATCAAGTCCGTATTAAATGACAGAGAGGTGAGAGTAGAGTATGTTTTTACAGTAGATTCCAATGCTTTAAGCTTGAATAGCACTTATTTTATTGCTCTCTTTTTTATAGTAATCTTTAAAGTACTCTCATTTAATGTGTCCTTATTAATCGATAGAGATGTGTTTTCCGTCTATTATTATTCAGATAGTGCTAATAGCGCGGGTAGTTGACATAAAGCGTATTCATCAGTGAATAGTCAGTGAGTGATATTGCTGGTGAGGTACATCTAGAACTCATAGAGTAGGTATTGAATTTTGCTAGTTCTTGGCGATACTAGCTTGTGTAACGACTGCGTTGTCTATCTACCAAGAGATATTTTGATGAAAGACTTACTTCTGGTCACATCTTGGCTTGATGAGGATTTGATAAATGTATCATTGATGCTCTGTAAACATTGACTTGATACGCTGTTAAGATTGGGTTTGACGGATGGTTGATGTAATGATTTATATCGAGCAATTAGTTGTGCCGGTGTCATAGCATGAATGAATCTGGGCGATAGAAACATTATGACAAGCAAGGAAAGCCATGTTAACTCGGTCTTCTTCTTCAACCCACTTGCCATCAAAATAGTTCAAGACTGTACTATAGGCTAGCGCGATGATCAACTTGATTTGGTCGGTGTTTCTCTACCTTGCAATCGTTCTAATCAATTCCTTATCTGATCTAAAAGGAGACTGATACTATTAGCCAATGGTGTAGTCTTTGCGATGACTCCAAAATAGCCAACAAAGTAAGAATCAACTAAGAGAGAGCAATGATGACTATTTTCAATCCACCAAAGCTAGCGATCGCTTGGCCAATAAATAAATAAAATATAGTATCTCTACTTATCTAGTTGTCGATGTATGGCAGTATACTGTATCGAGTACAGTACAGCAATACAGTACTTGGTAACGCCACTGTCAATAGGCCTCTGCTTTGACTGTCCTCTTGGCAAGTGCAAGTGATTGCGCAATAACGTGAAGTCTTGTTTTCTCCATAGAAATTAGTCGACAACAGCATGACTTATACTATTTGCTGTTTTAGAAACTACTGTTTAGAACACTTTTTATTGCCTACGACTACAGTACGAAATGATCCCGGCACTACAGTACTGTACTCAGTGTACTGTAGTTAGTAGTCACAGTATGATACTGCACAGTGCACAGTGAAGTAGTAATCCAATCCAGTACTGTAGCTTGAACGGTTCCTGGTACGGAACCGTTCCATCCTGATGACGTAATGGCGATAGAAGAAGAAATAGCAAAGAAGCGGCAGAGACAGCCAATAAATGGATTATTCAAAGGCTAGAACCAAAGATTGCTAGAGCAGTTGGAACAGAGAGATATCGACAGTACTATGCTGTATGTCGGAGAGATAGTTAAGTTTTAGTTCTAGTAGAAGTAGTCAATACAGCACAATAAGCACTCTGCGACAAGTCAATGTCGTCTATTTAGTAGGCATTTATTATACGATGTCAAGATAGTATCTTCATTTTATGCGACATCTCTTTTGCGCACGATTAGTATACAACTACCCATACGGCAAACCGATACTGCAATGGCCATCTTAGTTATGCTCATGTCATATGATATTTATGTACCGGTCATTTCTAAATAAGCAGTTGATTAGCGTCATGCTCTAGAATGGGCTCAAAAGTCCTAATAGAAATACTAATGCAATAAAAAAACGTATCGAAGTATACGTATATACTAGATGCATTTGCAGTGGATGCGTCCTTACTTCACAGCACGAGTCCTTGCAACATAGTTTTCAAGAATTGAAACAGACGATTCAATATTGACTCATAAATGACTATAGTGTTATCATAACTACAGAATCAGCCATGCTGTAGTAAGAACTCCACAGTATGGGATCACATCCTTGTCACCGGCAGTATATACTGTAAAAACATATGCGTATAATCAAAGAAGGAACAGAGCCTGAATTAGTTACAGATATGGGCACGACGAGAATATAGATTATAATGTAGAAATAACTTTGATTTCTTAAATTAACCTACTACAGGCTAGCCCCTACAAAACACAATAATTGTGTAGTGCAAGTACCCTGGAAGGACATGCCAATCAATTCATTTTAGCTGACAACAAACCATGTATAAATCGTGAAATATTTCGACATTATTGACCTGCCAATAAACTATAGGAAAGAGAAATTGAAGTGATTTTGTTGGGTTATACAGTATTCTTGGAAATTTACTTCCCATCTTATTAAAATAAAATTGAAAATGAATCGTCAAGTAGTAAGATATAGTGTACGAGTATAAGGAACAAGAAGTATACCGGGTAGAATCTCGTAGACTGCCCTCCAATGGATATCAATAAATTTCAACAGAGCTAATCGATATATATTGAAACGTGATCAATTTATTTTGTAGCTTCACACTGATGACAAATAAACAATTTAACAACAACTGCGATCACAATCCCTAATAAGCTAGTATTTTACAATTGCAATAGCATCAAACCAATAGCTGTATCGATGTACACTTTCTTTCAGCATACAGGAATTGGTACCACGTCTTTGAGACCAACCGGGTATAAATCCAAAACGCGGTGGGAACTCACAAGATATATAAGAGCAACGAGATGTTGACATACGCATATCAGCGACTGTTTGACAGCAGCAATCAAGCTTATGATTTGGACCACTGCTAAACCGTACACAAGAAATTACACACCTCGAGCATAGGACATTGAACTAACATAAAAAATTCACTATAATGTTATAATAGTATACATATATATATATATATTTTAAGTTTGCAAAATTGATTATATATTAAAATTGTATTAATGCACTAAATAGCCATAACAAATAATGAGTTATAAATTAGAATGGCTAAAATTGTATAGGGTAAAAATACCACGTTAATCACTGCTTAACAATATTCAAATATTGCACTTGGCTGTTTGCATTACTTTAAGCTCTGTCTTTCTTTACATTAACAAAATATTTTTATATTATAAATAAAGGCGAGGAATGCAGCATTATTTCAAACAAGGCAATGTTTAATTGTGTCATTATTAAAACTGAATTTATACTCTATTAATTCCAATTAGATTGAACTATCTTTCATCGTTGTATCGATATAAATAGTAAATTTGCATAATATACAGTATATCTGGTTCGAGCAATACCCCCACGCATAGTGCTTAACAAATTCCTGCTTCATACATTTTCACCATACAAAGATTGTAATATAAGTACCTTATAAATACACATATTCGTCAACTGAATATTGTAAACTTTGTAGTATGTACAAGATAGTGAAATTGAACTGATAGGATGATAAAATTATAGATATTTCTATATGTAGTAATAATTATAAAATAATTTCGCAATAGTTATCCAAATTATTTTTACATACTATCAATCTTAAACAGCTTATGCCTCTTTAGCAAAAAAACCAGTAAAAATTATTCTTGGAACTTTCATTACATGCAGTCGTTTACATCTATATGCTATAACCGCACATAATATGTACGAGCATATATTTGACGATACGTTAATGCTGATACTAGTAGCTACTATCGTCCTGTGTTTTCAGATATAGTCCAACTATAAATGCAGCCTTTATCATCTCCACTCAATAGCCGTTTCTGGTCTTTACTAATTGAGAGAGCAGTTATTGCAGCAGGATGGCCATCTTCATCACGACTTAATTGATGACGGAGATTTATCTTATATTGCCATACTTAGAAATGTGTACAATTGATTACAGTTAATAGTAAGAACATTGCAATGATTAAATTTCGGCTTAAATACTCATGCAGTATTTGAAATGTTACCTTTCTTATCATCACCACTGAGGGTATTATTTCTGAAGGAAGCAAATTCCTCCTCAGCTGATACAGACGATATAGAATTGCGGGGCGGATTTCCAGGCTTTGGAACATCAACAGTTAATGCTGCATTGCTTATATCTACTAAATCGATACCCCATACCTTATTGATCAACGAAAGAATACAATATCATTTAGTTCTTGACATGATAAAGTAAATTATTTCTGTACAATGGTTATAAAGTTATCCACAGTTAGTTATTTAGATATGCCATCTGAAACTTACCCGAATCTTGCCATCCGCTGATCCAGTCACGATTACGTTATCTTTATCCCAATCGCGGAGATCAGATACTGCACAACACAAGACATTACTATTAGAGATTATAGAAGCATTAAATGCTGTCAGTAATTCCCCGTTTATTGTCCAGACATGAATCCAACTACCAGCACAGGTTGTAATATCACCCTAAAATATTACAATTTAAAATATCAATTAGCGCTAAATTATCTACTTTAGACAGTAATTCCATCATTGCTAGTCTAACAATACATACTGTCATATCGTTTATGGCTATCGCAGTTACAGGAGCTTTACGAACGGGTAACTGTTTTATATATTGCAAGCGATTTAAGTCCCATATGATGCAAGTACGATCCTAACGTTTAAGATATTATGTCATTAATCGAATTCCTACTAAACATTGGTTACGCATGTTTTATCAATTTATGTCAATAGTTACTTCTGATCCGCTGACGATCACGCTATATGCAAGCGATGCTACTATATCAGTTACTGCTTTAGTGTGGCCGTATAGTATCTGCAACAACAACATCATTTCCAATGTTAGTCAAATATTTATTCCAAAAAGTAAAATCTCCCTAATTATTGTCATAATCTAGTCTGTTTGACGACAGTAAAATAGTTATCGATCCTAATCGTATCAACGGTAATTCATAGAGACCTCTTTGAGTTTCAATTGCTTGGATTTATCTTTATTTACTTCCGGTTTCCAAACACATACTGCCGTGCTAGTACCTCCAGTAATGAAGATTCGATCATGAGGACAACAAATACATAGAGTTTGCCCGTAATGAACACATTCGTAAACAGCAAGAAGCTATTAATCAAAATAATGGAGAATTAATTGAATTTAATTTGTAAATATAGTCATAAGAATTAATATTTTGTTCACAAAAAAAAATTGTAAAGGCAATAAGCTAATAGTTCTTATAGCTCACTTTATCGCCTTCTAGGGTTAATATTCGGAAGCTAAAATCGGAAAAGCCCCAAGCCATGCATCGATTGTAGTTTGATGGTATCAGTACCTGAATACAAATAATTATCAATTAAAATAAAGGAAGATCGATAAAACTTGAGGAATGTCTCGTAATTATTTTAAGTAACCTTATTACGTTCCACAGCGTAAATACTTCTTTCCGTTTGTACAATTTGTCCAACTGCCCCTTTTAATTCTACGTGAACATTAATTCAATAAGTAACAACAAAAATAGAACAGAAAAGATCTCAAATCTGATTGCCAGGTAAATTAAAATAATTTAATGTTTTATAAACCTTTCAAAGGATGAGAAGAAGGAACTAAGCTGTCTAAAGCGTGATAGAAAAGTTTATCATTATTGGCAGAAAACGGAGAATAAGTAGAGGATCCAGGCGTAGTTATTGATGGTAAGGTGTCCGGTATCCGCATTCTTTTTGCTGGGTGAGGTTTCTTAAATATCTAAAACATTTTGCAACATAGCCGCAATTAATCATCGATACCATAAAATTCAATAGACAATAAATCAATTTACTTGTTGAGGTATTTGACCGAAATTATTGATAAATGCAATAATAGCATTTCGTTTTAATGGATCACGAATTGTTGATATATCTAACATGAGTTAAGGTCTAGGAGAAATTTAATTTTACATAGCAGCTACAAATCCGATTGATTGAAATACAAGTATTCTGGTTGTCTATTAAATAATTGATAAATATAATTCATTATTGAAAAAGATACCAACGGCTCCTTCATAAAACAAATGATGGTACACGTTTATGGAATCGATAGCCATTTGGCCTTGTTGTTTGTAACCAAATATGAGATCAATCCATTTATGCAAATTGGCACTAACATAATCGGATTCTAAAGCCTGTGGGTGTAATAATGAGAAACATCAGTAATATTTTCAAAACTAACTATAAAATAGAAAGAATACATGCAAGAACAAACAAATGATGCGAATTTTAATAAATGACCTCTCTATTTATCCTGATAAACTGATAAGCACTATTCTTTGCCCAAGGCGGTAAGATAACTTCTCCTAGTTTTGTTCCATTTTGCTTTTCACCTTCAAAGACGGCACGCGTAATAATATCTATTAATTGCTTTATTCGATCATATGAACATGCTAGAAAGTTCAGTACCTAAATCAAAGTGGTTATTGTTCATTAAAAATGTAGGTAAAGTGAAGAATTCAGGAATTAGTTCCTTCACGTCTGCCATATTAGTTTGCGAAGCCGAATTCCAAGAATCTTGAATACTATGAAACATTCTATCAGGTAGATCAAAATGACCACCCTAAGTGAGATGAACAAGAATGGAATAAATAATAGGATACAGCACAAAAGCTATTCATCGCCATACAGTAAGTCTAAATTAATTATCGACTATACTTGTAAACGCAGGAAGTGCTGAGTGAAGGGTTCTAATCGAATAAGATACGAGGCTACAATCATAGCGGAGGAATAATGTGTTCCGTAATGATATGGTGGCGTTTCTCCTACATAAAACAGTAGTAATTTGTTTCATTATCTCAGTTATAATGCACTTCAACGATTGATAATTATTGCAATACATAAATCAGAGTTGTGGAAAGTATTGGTATATTTACCGGTTGGATCATCCCATTCATTATATCTCTTCATGAATTTTTTTACTCTTTCTTCTCCTTGAGCTCCCATCGGTTTTGATAAATCACGAAATGATTTACTATTTGTTAAATCAATTTCCTGCGAATGATAAAATCGAAATAAAAATAACGATTAATTACTCAAATAATATATTTTGTAGACGCATATAAATAAATACAAGTCCTACGTTAAATTAGTTAATTATCTATATATGTTATTGACTTTAGAATACAATCTCTTGGCATACCTCATTTACGTAATCGGCTATAATCCAAGGAAGAACAGGATATTGCATTAGATCGTTATACGATCTACCAGCCAATGTGTTAATATGCATAAGGTATTGGAAGTTACTTATTTCTCCTCTCTACAAGGAATAAAGTATTTAAGATATAACATAAGTGATCTTATCATAGATCCATAACGTACTGACTTTATACTGTAGCATATATGTAAAACTAAGTTGTTACCTCCCATCTCTGTGTGACCGATCGTTCACCCATTAAAGTGTTTAATAATCCAACACTAAGACAATTAAAGTGATCAGTAAAAATTTAGTAATTCTTTAAATATTCGCTACAAATATTGTAGTTACCTCGATTCCAAATCAATGTTTCTTTTCATTCCAGATAATGACTCCGTTGCACTTCCGGCATTAGATGGTATTATCGATATTAACCTATTACAGGTAATGATTTTTTAAATTACTTTTAAATCTAGTGCAAAAAGGCATACCACAAATAATTTCGCAACAGTTAAACATTATTTAGTATTGTGCTTACTTTGAATATACTTTATCTCTACTACTCTTTGGAAACACCAGTAACGAATTTCTGCCATCATTACAGAAGAACTCGATTCCAGTAGGCTTTAAAATACGAAGTAAACATTGTAACTTACTAGTAAATGTGTATAGATAAATCCAAGTGCAAGTATATTGAAGTAAATTGCATCATTTTGCTTGCATACCTGTAACAAATACCGGCGTTTGTAGACTTCATGTACATCACCGTAGAACCATTTTAAGCAACTACAAATTAGAAACGGTATTAATATTAGCGAAACCCCAATTACTGTATAATCAATGAAATACAGGTATACTACATATACCATCTTTTAAGTCGTCGCTGTGTAGACTTTGATGATGATCTCGGTACGACAGGATCGTAACTCCTAAAAAATTTCACACAATAATGAAATCCTAAGCACTTGTGTATTTACGCATTTGCAGATAGTTTGCATATAGATTATAATATACGCCATATAAAGAACAAAACGATCAATCATGGTTAACCAACCCGGGAGTAAGAGACGATATATCTTTAATCTCTTTCGATGCTAATAGTGTAAATCCGTCAACAACATAGAAATGTTCACGGCCAAATAGAAGAACACCTTCAGAATTATCGAGTCCTTCAATTCGTGCACATCTGAACATCGCTGTAATCTGGTATTATTTAAAAGTATATAAATGATTGTTTTGCTATTTATTAGCTATATATTTAAATTGATTGCAAGCTTGAATAGATATCCACTGCTCTATACAGGACTTACCTTGTCTCCAACTTCAAGGAAACGTAACACACTTTGATGATCCTTCATGAAGAATATGAATAATAAAAACCGCCGAATATATATTTAAAGCCTGAAAATGTAAATTATAGATATTTTTTAGTATTCGGCACTGTACCCGATCCTGGTCATTATCCTCCTGTTCATTCGTCTCATCTCCACAACTTGTAGTTCTTTCCAAAGGTTCTTCGCCTTAATTTAAAGAGGGCAAGATATTAACATCAAAGTCGGAGACAGCATTAAATACTAACTAAAATATCATGAAATATTGGAAATACCGTAAACGATTTACTAACCAGATTTAGTTGCTTCCATATCTTTATTAATTGTAACTGTATTTAGCGTACTATTAACATAAAGTTCTGGTGAAATGTTTTCTTCTGGAAATAGTCGATAGAATTCCATACTGTCGTAACTTCTAGCTATTCGAAATTTCTGTAGGCAATTAATAATCGGTTACCTTAAAGTACTAATGCTTCAGATCAACATTTACAACACATACTATATATACTACATATTGATGTAGATATGTGTAATGTACCTCATTGTATTTATCATCTGATATGCCATCCATGACATACGGATAATGTTTATAAAAATCTTCATTTCTAATCATTCGTTTACGCATACGACATGGGCCTAGTATTTTAGATAACATACGAAAGCAACGAGATTAAAGGCTAAATAAACTCTATAAGCTCAAATTATGCTTAGATTACCTTCAGTTGCATCTAATTTCCATTTGTCTAAAAACGTTCCAGATAACGGACCCCAAATGCCACGTTCACGAATTAGTTCGTAACATAGTTGATTCCATTCTTCGGAAACGTACTGTAGTAAATGTTGACACTCCTTTAAAAATATAATCAAAATTTTATTAATACCTTTATTACTTCCCATCCAATGACAAGATATTTACGCTAACTGGACTGAGTAAAAAGTATTATGCATAGTAGCATCAGCCTAAGTCAATTTACCTGCTTATATTCTCGATAATTAACATCTATTAAGGTGCTAACGACAGCTTTATGATTCATTATCCATTGCTCGGCATCCTATTATAACAAATTTTAAGCTTTATTGTAATTACCGCCTTGCTTTCCTTTTATTTGCTAAAATGATAAGAAAAGAAGCTTAGGCCACACTTACTTGGTTAAGTATATGTGCAGAGATTATTTTAGGATCTTTCTTTATTCTACGAACTGTATTTGACAGCCGAGAAATAACACGTTTGGATTTCTGTGTTGGAGGCGTAATAACGACAATAAATAACAATTAGAATAATATATCGTTTTTCCGCTGTTATTAAGTGACAAGACTAACGGCTTGTTGTGTGATCATCACAGAAGCTTCTCCTCTTTGTTCACTAGCATGATAAACATTCCAGTGCTTGGCAGCTTGAGCAGCAATTGATAGTCTAAAGCAGTATTTATATGTAAGCAAACAACATACGTAATTGAAAATATCATGAATACACAAGATGTAAACTCCACGAACCCCACAGATCCAACATCCCCTAATGATAGTTGTGTCGCGGATATTAAACTTCTGCAATTACAAGAAAACGATTCCACATAGTTTGAGCATTAATAACTTTGACAACTACGAAGTACTGTATAATAAGATTAAATCATACTCACTTTTCGTTATTTGCTTGCTTCTTCTTAGCTAGAGTAGTTTTAAAAATTTCTTCGAGGATCTAAACGTGATTTATTAGAATTATATCAAAGATTAGAGCTAAAAGGTATGCTAAAGTAATCTTAAAAATTAATTTTTTCAGAGTTTGATTCTTTTACCTCCGATTTATTTGATAATAAAATATCCCAAAGGCGTTTAGAAGTGGAAATTATAGCTTCGTTATTTAGCATATCATCCTTGTTTTCGGTGCCCTTACCGCTAACAAGCTCTTCGCCGGCAAAAAAATCCCAGACACCTTTATCATCTTGAGCACCTTCCAATTTTGTGATAACCTCAAAATTTCCGGATAAATTTCCTTCGGAGCAATGATCGTGAGATATCTTTCCCTCAGGAGCATCATCCTCATGCCCCTCATCGGAACTATCGACGGTATGGCCAGATACTAAGGAGTCTTTGCTTTCTGATAAATGAACAGATGAAGTGGATTCTAAAGTACTTGATACCTCAGTAGTTTCTTTTTCGTTACGTCTTGCATTCTCTATTGACTTTCTTGATAACTTACTTCGGATACTCTGTAAGGAACTACTAACGGATGAATTGCTGGAATCGAAATCTGTCATCGCATGAGGTACCGAATTACCACTGAGGGAGAGGAGGTGATGGCATAAACATGCCAGAAATTCGTGGTCGTTATTGCTAGGACTAAGTATGAGCTTATTATAACTCATAATCAACTTTAAAGTGTCCAGAATTTGTGCTTTATTAACATTTTTTAGTTGAAGCCGAGAAAGCTGATATAAGATACATCGGTTAAGACAATGATATAATTGTTCTATTTGCACAGAATGTGGACATTGTCTGGCTTGTTCAATCATTCGGATTAAAAAATCAAATATTCTCGTGTTGTTTTGCGTAAACATTCCCTGCCATAACTTATCGACAACTTTAGCACAATAAAGTAAAACATTATTTGAAACTCTGGAATAATTTCCAGCTGCTTTTACTAGGCTTGATCGATCACCTAAGGCATCTGATGAAATTAGATAGTTCATCATTAGACATATCACTTCAGTTTGATAATCTGCTTGTAACCGATTTGGTGATTGAGATGGAGCAGCTTCCAAAGCAAATTCGATTGCAACTGGCAATTTGTTCTGTTTATCAGATATCATGCCATCAGCTATAATATCACGTATAAATTCTAATACGTAACGCTTTGCAGGGTGAGAACAAAGTCGCGTCCAGCCATCAAATGCCGTTGTGGGGCTATGTGGAGTGTCATGTTGAAAATCATGACTATCACCATCGCTAGCAATAATTTGCCATTCATCGATTGATAGAGACTTATATTGAGGAGTAAGCGGGAACAATGTGGCAGCTAACGCTTCCAGGAATTCTTGACTTGAACAATATTGAGCAAATTCTGGTATATGACAATATAAAAAGAAGAGAAATTGGATAATAGTTACAGGATAGTGCCTTAAGGTAGCAGTTTCCTCCATCTGGAATTGATTGACCATTCTTCTAGTTATTGAAAGTAAGACAACTGCAACATTCGGACACTGTACATAAGTAGTTGTTGATTTTTGAGAAACGCGATTTTCGTTTAAGGATACTTTTGCTAAATCAAATACGTTGAATAGCGTAGATAAATCAAACTCTTTGATATTTTCCATACTACTCTGCATTAAGCGTTTACCCAAAAGCAATGCAATTAGCATGTAATAAATTTCAGGTTCATCAATGTGCATATGCATGGCTATATTTTGAAACATTACAAAACCAGGTAAATTAAAAAAATCTTTGTTAATTTCAAGCTGACGCGATCCTTTTAGATTGGCAGTATTAACACTGACTCCACAAGCAACTGTATTAATTGTATTGTTGAGGATATGCTCTGTATTTGATAGCCAACCGCCATTGAATGTTCCTTCTTTATAAACTGTTAAGTAAGTACTATTACTTAAAGTTGTGTTACTACTTTGAAGAATTATAATTAACATTCGTAAAGCCAATATTACAGTCGATTTATGATTAGCGCCATGTAAAAAGGTAGCAAGCCAATCAAATCCTAATACTTTAACAATCGCATCGGTCATCTGATGATTAACATCTTTACTATTTCCAATTGATAGACTATATAATGCTTCTAACAGAAGATTTCTTAACTTGATTTTCTTAATTACAGGGTTATCTTTGTATTCCTCCACATCGTTAGTATCTGTATCGGAACTTTTATCGTTAAATGATAATAGCTTTTCAGACGATGGACTAACCGGTGGTAGAGTCGATATCAGATACTGTCCAAGTCGCAATAGGTCTGCACTACTAGGAGCTCCACTTAATAATAGCGTAATTATGTTTACAATACTTTCACCAATTTCGTACCTTACACTCTCATTACGCAAGACCTGGATTAATTTAGAGACCATACCAAGTTTTCTCATCAGCGTAATATTAAAACTAGCGTTACTATTCTGAGTTAAAAGCTCATAGAAATGTTCAAATAGCATTAACTGTAGGTCACCAGGTGCTAAATTCCATATCTCTAAATCGCATAATAAATCCACAAAAGCTGGAAGGCATGGTAAGGCACTAGACTCTCTAGAGCTATCGACAGTCCCAACCAACGTGTAAATCAAGTGTAAAATATGACTATTGATAAGGTGAGATTTATGCTTGAAAAGCATAGCTAATATTTGGTAGCCTTTAATTCTTTCCATTTCTCTAGCTGCTAACCCATTACAGCTAACAACAGATACCAGAACTTTAACAGCTGCATAGAGTTCTTCCATTGTCATAGCCATAGAGACCAAGCCTAATATCGCTTTAACGCCACCGATACATTGCAAGGCTTGGGCAACAGGCATGGGACAAAATACTCGTGTGCCTGCTGAACTTACAACAACAGCCCCAGGAGATCGTGCTGGCCCACTGAGATGGCAAGCAGAATTAACAATAAAACTTATTGGCAAGCTACTATCTTGACGTTGCAATCCCAATTCTTTCGCGATAGCTCTAGCGTCACTCTTAGCAAATTGATGAGCAATAGATGTGAATGTCATTGTAGTCAGAGCGTGACCATAAATGCTGAACATTATCCTCTCTTCAGATACTATCGGTTGAAGAACTTCATTTAGCCCCGATAAGAAGCCACTCTCTCCCCAACCTGGTAGTGTTAAACCACGTTCTTTTGCAACTGCGCACATCGTTGGTTCTAGCATAGGAGCTTGAAAATTTCCAATATAGTTTGGACCAAGGAGGTAAAGGGTTGTCACAGACGATGTAGATAACGGTTCTTCAAACAAGTGCGTTGGCCCTAATCGGAACTTTAACTTTGATAATCTTCGCTGAGAAGGAGGTGTACCGATTCGTGCAAAGTAGTAATTACTGACAGCACTATTATTGGCATTGTTACTGCTCGTAGTATTTGACCCAGACCCAATTTGGACGTAATGTAGCTTCTGAGTTGATATTAGCATACCGTCTATGAATAAAGAAACTGTACTATTTTTGATAACCCCTTTATTCAAGATAACGACAATGTGTCTCCAAACATTCTCTTTTAGCAAATGATCGCATTTAAAGCAAGCTTCGTGATTTCCAATAAAACTGCTTCCGCTATCAGCTTCTTGCGAGTTGCCAGCATAATTTTCAACAGTACTAACAATTAATGTGCGCTCAAATGGAGAAATTGATATAGATAAAGGTATAGAGCTATTTGATAAGTTACCGTTCGTGTTCGTACATCGCCCAACAGTTAATAACCTATGTATTCATGAAAAATATAAGAACAAGGAAAACATAAATTTAGGAGAGCACTTTCTTATACGGCGAGATAATCCATAAAAATTACGCAATACTTTATCCTAGCATTAATATAACTAACCGAATAGGATGTGCATCAATTGTGGGCGAACTAAATATATCAACACAAAGCCAAGTGGCGTAAGTTAAACCATTTTGGGGCGGAAAAAGACGTTCACCATTACCAACGCCTCCGGTTAATCCTTGAGCTAATGCGCTGTCATTTTCATCTGTTACAAAGCCAGCTACGATAGTCTGAGGAGCAATTGATAATAAACATAGACAACCGAATCCATCACTATTCATATCAAATTCGATAAATTGAGGCATTAGAGACGCTCCTTGAAATCTAATATCCCTTTGGGTTGTCATGGAAACTAAAGATTTAACAATTTTTATAGAGACTGATCCATGATTTGCAGATAAATTCGAGATTGCACCGCTACTATCCGCCTCAGTTGTGGTAATGACTTCGGTATTATTTAAATCGTCTTCATCTACTATACTGACATCCGCACCTGATTAACATGACAATTTACAATAATTACGTCGTTTATCCGATAACTTTGATCATTTCCTCGATATCGGTAAGTGAATCATAAAATTAGTTGTGTAGACACTGAGCATTACCTGTCTCATTCGGCGATTTTTGTAAATTAACGATATCTTCATAATTACGCACAGGCCAAGTGTAGCAGTGCAAAGGTGCTCCAAGTCTGAGAAATTCTCTTAGTTCATTTGGTTGTATTGCCTGAGCTGCCAAATGTTCAAACGTTTGCAATAACAAATGCAACGGATGGCAATCATCAGATAGAGCTTCTTGGCATTTTGTTAGCAATTTATTTATGAGACCGGCATCACAAGCAGTTTGTTGATTATATTCCACTTGTATAATACGATTAATTCTATTGGTAATACGTTTTTGCAGTAATAACGTCTACAAGAGAAAAAGTTTTTTACTTAAGATTTGATAATTGCTTTGCTAATGCTTGATTATATAATTTAACCTGTATAACTTTATTGTAATTATCAGCTAATATTAACATACCTGACACTTCAACTCATCAAGATCGCCAGCAACTTCGTCCTCTTTTCCAACACATGGTAAAAGATTAATTATTACACATAAAGCACCAGGATTAACGAGTAATGGCGTATTTGAAGGCGGCTGTGTTACTTCATTATAGCTTCGTGAGATAATTAACTTTTCATTCCAATCAAATAAGTCTAAAGCCATAGAAAATACACAAGTTATCACTCTTTCCGCAGCAATTAGCGATGGAAAAGAAATTTCCTTGTCGGAATCTGAAACAGCTGGTTTATCATGTGAAATTTCATTGGAAGAATCTGTAGTTTCTGCAGATAAATCAGTAGGCTGATTACAGTAGGATTCAAGGCAAGTATTATTATTGAAGCAACCCAATAGCTGTAGTGTATCCGCCAAGCTATCAAATGAGACCTAATGAAAATTTTAATTGAAAGAAGTTATGAATTCAAGCTCGATAACAACTATGAATGCTAATTATCCAAAAAAAGGTCAGTACCTATAGAGGGTAAATATCTCATAGCTACACAATGTAGAGATATGCCTACAACTATGAACAGCACAAATTACCTCTGATGTAAAAAATCTCTTGTTTGCCGGTGAATCTCTCATCGCTAAAGTCAAAGTCCTTAAGCACATTTTCAATAAGCCTAAAATTTGCTTTTGATCCACTATAAATAAATATATATATACAGTATATATAATATGTTATAGTTGATAACTATATTAACCGTAGTCCATAATATTGATTGATAGTTACCTGTTTCCCAAGCTTGAAATGGCTTTGAAGAAAGGCTGCCATTCATACTTACAAGCACTGATACAATATAAATAAATCCACCCACCTCTCGGAAAGATGAGCGCATGCTGGGATCTAACGAAAATACTCTGGCTAAGGTATTCATAATATCGATCTTTAGTTCGACAGCTGTTTGAGGAGCTGAATTCATCATACCCAAAAGTGTTCCTAAATCATCTTCACCGCCTTCAGATAATATAAGTTGCTGAACTAATCTAAGAGATTTTGCTCTTGACCTCGAATAAGGAACTAAATTATGCACACAGCGTGCACCACCATCGCGCCTAAAATGGTTAACGTTGATTGTATTTCCCTCTAAAACTACACGTAGTGTTTCCATGAGCATAAATGCATAATCTTCTAAACTATCTAAGTTAGACAGATTATTAATATTATTATCATTATTCTCGTTATTTGATATGTCAGATTTTGATCGATTAGCTTTATCTGCTGTGTACGCATAGGATGAAGCCAAGATTACATTGTCCTCGCATTCATTTTCCCTCATTAGCATGGCATATTTCTTTAGCAGGACTATTAAGCCATCCAATAGCTTAACTTCTCGATAAATATCCTGATATTTCGAATTATAGCTGACTAACTTAATCATTGACCGCATGATAAATATACATGCATTTGGTTCACTGGACAAGTGATATGAGGTAAAGAAAAAAAGTAATAAAAGAAATCTTAAGTTAAACTGTTAGAGGCTATCAAATAAATTGCTACTTTTCCTAACCTGTAGGCTTGTAAAGCAATAGCAAGATCGCATAGTTCGTACTGAGGAACAAAATTTAAATTACAAGCAACGTATTCTAAAAGCTGAAGAATTTTTTCCTAAATACAAAAAAAGTGGGATATAAAAATTTAGACAGAAAAGAGGATATTAACCTATATAAATTTTTAGATCATTATAATAAAAGTAAACAATATGCAGTTTTTCAGCCAATCCTTTAGTAGTTTACCTGGACACTTATAGATTTAGAAGACATTTTTTCAATAAAATTAGCTATGGTTTTTTGAGGTGACAATATAAAATAGTTAGCGGCTTCAGAGTTATAGATATTGATGATAGAATCCAAGATTGTATTTGATAAAAATGTTGAATTTGCCTAAATAATGAATTTAAATTTAAAATGATGTGATATTCTTAATAACACAGAAAAAGCTAACTTTTACGGTGTTAAGATAAAATGTTGAATTCACCTAATGAATTCAAATATGAAATAATGTAGAATTTTCGATAAACAGAAAAAAGTTAACTTTCATAGCAATATGTAGATTAGGTAAATTTAAAATTTTATGTACAATTAAAACTGTCGTATTTTTTAGTCAATTCAATTAAAATTTATCACTTTAATCAATAGTAAAAGTAGGCTCTAAAAGTAGTTTTCCATATACTAGACTGAACCATCTATATATATCATTACAAGAATTTTACCCTGATAAAGACTGTCTGTAAAACTTGAAAAGCAGCGATATTTCTAACGGATACGTTTCCTTTCGATGTTGGCTGAGGTATTACAAAGTCTTTTTCTTGATATGGTGAAATATCTAAGGGTCCACTTGCTTTCAAGATCATGTAACCATATAGTACCATTGAGGCAATCAATAAAATCATATTACGTAATGCTTCTTCCGTTAATTGTTTTTCACTTTGGTCAGAAATCGAATTAAGTTGACTCTCAACTTTTAATAAGAATTCTGTTACAAACAGATAACCGTTACAAGTACGAAAATCGTCCAATAAAGTCTGAGTGGCATTGCTTGTATCTTTTAAGCAGCAAAATATTGTGACAAACATTTCAACCATCTCCAGAGGTGGAACATCTTTCAATTTCCGCATGCTATTAACACAGACGCTGATACAGTTTTTATCTGGATAAACGAACATATCAACAACGTCATGTATTAATAACTTTGTATTAAACTAGCTATAAGAAACTGATTATTAAGTTGTATCTCTACTTGTCTGTTACTGAAGTTATTAATGTACTATTTCTTTGTTGAAATGGCACACATTGCTATACGTTAAGTGCAAATTTTATCAAGTAAATGGAATAATAAAATAGGACGTCGAGAAACGTATAAAAAATTCCAAAATATCAGACAATAGGATTCTGACGGTATTAGTCTAATAAGTAAAAAAAATTGGATAAATTAATATTAACTTTGCCAAATGTTTTGTCTTAATAAAGAACTGATTATTGTTGACTGCAATGGGTAAGCAAGTATTTCGTCGCAGACTATACGTTACAATTTTTACAGACAAGCAACTTAAATGAAACCATGATGGAATATATTGTGAATATGGGGGGGGGGGGGGGGGAGAAACTGACGGATAAAGCTGCTACCGAAATCAGAGACATTAATTTATTAATAAATTATAACTTGGTGTGAGACTGGAATGCATCAAGATTCTTTTAAGAGTAGTCTTTTGTTGATAATGGGATCCATTGGTCACTTGTATTTCAATCAACAAATAAGGACTTGGCTTTTTTAAACTATTCTAGGGGACTGAAAATAGCGATGATGATACTATTATTTTAATTCTTGCTAAATATTGACATACGCGTACTTTCGTCAATCTGGATATTTGTTGATCATTTATTTATTTCTACATGGTATTACGTGTATTTTTGTTGTAATATAGGTTGCTGTGCTGTAGTATCGAATCAAGAGGATTCTTCTGACAACTCTACAATTTATTTAATGAGTACTACAGTCTGCGACGTAAGCCACAGAGATGATTGGAAATCAAGGAAATAGGATCAGATCATCTAAAAATTTGCCGTCATTGAATGTCATTAAGACCCTTCTGTTTTCCAGCTATCATCGTAGGATGGATTCAAAATTTTAGCCTATGCTACCATTTACAGTATATCGACTAGAAGATTTACAGATCATTAAGTCTTGATATCGTGTGGTTAATCTTACACTATTAGAGTGCATCGAGATCTTCTTCACTTACCAGTGAAAAAATAATAATATGCTGTGATAATTATCAGTCATGTCTAATGTCTTATTAGCAACTCTGGATTCGTTGTAACAGGATACGATCGGTTAGTTAAAGTTAATTGGCTTTAGTAGTATACCATACAATGCTACCTGCCGTCATTGTCGATTATATATTATATGTTATAATTAGTTGTTATTGATTAGGATAATCAGATATCCAAATTTAGTCCATACTACAGTACAGTAGTATTTCAAAGTGTTGACATTCAATGATATTATTGAAATTCTTTTACCAATGTGATTGAAATTGCCCACTTTTACATCTAAATAAATGAGTCAATCCTTGGGTATTTCCCATTCATTTTAGGAAAAGTATTCTTTTGATGCTATTGCTAGTCGAAATAGATTTTATTTATTATATAATCGTGTTGTTCATGGGTAGAATAGACTCGAGATCACAGCATGTGTTTCGATTCGAGAAACAAACGATAGCTGCTATCGTTTGAATACGAATGCGGTAATAATCTACTGTAACGATGGGAAAGTTGCCTTGTCTTCAACATTATTGAAAAGATTTCTTGATTAATTAGGACTTTGCCATTCCAATATCGGTTAATTAAAATAGTAATTAATGATAGAAAAGACATGCTATAGCAGAGTTATATTGATAACCCATTGCACATGTCAATAACCGACTGCTAGTCATTAATAATACGTAATATTTTGGGCCATTATCTTTAACTACAGTATCAGCTCTTAAGGTATTGTTGATAGTAATCCATTGCAATGTTGTCATTCTCTTTCTGTCTAAATCTTGTTTCTAGTTTATATTCAAATCGATCAATACTAAAAGCTATTTCCTATAGCGTTGAATATTCATCCAATCATGGAGTTTTAACGAAGATTGAAAAAATAGAAAGAGGAAAAAAGAAATTACAAGAGCCAATTTCCTTTACAACAGGAGAGTGAGAAATACTCTTCTGATGATTTTATATTTCATCAATTCCTACTACATTGAAAGGGCTGTACGTGTATAGGAAATAGGGTAGAACCAATATCATGCTGTCAATGTGCGGGTATCTTGGATTAGGGGGCAAAATACAACTAGCATTCAATCTGTCTTGAAAAGTAATGACCTAAAAAAATGATTGTACAATCTTTCATATTGATTTTCTTCTGCTAACACCATAAAAATAGAGAGATACTGTATACTATACAGAGTATATGGTCGTACAAACTGGCTAAAATAATATCCTTGCTGTTTCGACGATGGCAGCTAATCCGTCTCAATGCATTTTTTCTCTCACCCCCCTCCGCCTTAATGAAAATCTTTTAGAATTAAAAATTCCCCCCCCCCCCAAAAAAAAATAATAAGTCAAGCAAAGCTTACTGCTTGCAGGTACTTGAATATTGAAATGGATTGATTCCAAGTTAAAGTATACTGTGCTACAGTCATTCAAGGCTGATTAAGATCGGAAAACAATTCATATACTCCAAAGTTTTTTTTTCACTTGTAAAATCGAAACAATAATAGTCAATAAATCAACGATGAAAGGAAAGCGACAGTACGTCTGAAAGCAATTCCTCCTTGATATTGCAATGCAAACTATTTCATCGGACTGCTGGTGTGCAGTATTGTCTATCCTAATCTAACTTCAAGTTGATATTCATTGTCGGTTGGACTCGTTTAGCCCCATTTTAGATATGATCTATTAAAGATCATTGTCTGCGATTGCAATATCATGACCAATGTTTACTGCAAAGTTGAAATTGCACATGCAATGGTAGCTGTAGTCATGATGATGGAAATTGCAAGCATAGAAAACCCCCAGTACTCCGCAAAATTAAAAAAGCGTCATCATCCTTGCACAACTGCATATTGTCTATATTATAGAATGATGAAAGGACTTACTGTGGATATAATCGAGAACCATGGTGGATAATTTCGATGAGGATATTGTTCGTATACAAGAGGATGCGATATTACGCCATGGTTTATTATAATTGGGGCACCAAGTTGTGACTGCACTCATCAATAATGCAAGATCGTCTTTACGTACTAATTCTTCAATAGGTCCAATAAATTGACAAAGACGTGATAATATTTTGCCATACATGATCTGCAATTGGCGACGTTGTTGTTGTTGTGTTGATAAAGTGGTTGTTGATGGAGTCGTCTCGATTGGACGATTGGAAGTTAACTCATCACTTTTACAAGGCGATGGTAAATCATAAAATAAATACATACATTTGACCATGGTCGAAGGTAAGGATGTTGCAACTAAGCTAGCAACAATAGCCGAATTGCCGGCCGATAACAACTGGATAGTTTTTAATAAATTCCAACCAGAACGAACTGATTGATCAGTAGTCTCTAAGTATTCAATAATTGCTGAGCTCGCTTCTTCACTAGCATGATTGGAGACTCGACGACGAATTTCACTGACAAATAATCGACTGACATGTTTGGTAAAAGGTAAGATATCGCCAAATCGCTCAAACATATCCGACGGTTGTGCATTGCCAAAAAGTTGACAAAATAAGGGCAACATTTTGTACAGCTTTAATTCTTGTAGACTACGCCCAGAGTCGGATGGATCCGGTACTTGGCAATAATCCACATAAAGTTTACGTAAATTCATTAAGCTATTGCTATCATCTGTGGAAGGATCGCTTCCACTACGACTACGTTGATTTTCTAGATCGGAATTGGAGCGAACACGTCCAACTAATTTACGTACCAGATGCATTTTCCCACAAGCTGGCCAGGAGAAACTGGACTTGTCTCCAATTGGATAAATCAAATAAAGTTTTCGATCGAACAACAAATAGTTAACCTAACAAGAAATGGACTGATTGAAAGTGGATAAGGGACAACAGTTAACGAACATATTGATTTTGTCCCAGCATAATCAAATGGTTGGTTAACACCGCCATTTTGATGCATTCATTGTTGTGTTAGGCCTGAAATGAGATAGGCCTTGATATCGATTTGAAATAGACTGGTGGTCAAAGTGTTGAACAAAGCACAAGTGCCACCGGATTACCAGCTGGACTGTTTACAGTGTACAGTGCAGGACATTGTCTCCGCTACAGTGCAGTGTACTGTGGAAGAGAGTACTGTACACTGTAGTGTATTGTCGGAAAGTCGGAATCGATGATTGTGCTAGTCCGGTCCAGTCCGGTCCAGACTGGTACCGTACACAACTACTACAGTACACCGTATCTCTGTCAAGCGTCAGGCCAAACTCATGTCTCGGAATCGATGATTGTGCTAGTCTAATACAGTCCAGTCCGGTCCGGTCCGATCCAGCCCAGACTGGTACAGTACAATGTATCTCTGTCAAGTGTCAGGCCAAACTCATGTTCTTGTATCGACGTTGTACCCATGTCACCTGTGGTGATTCATTGCTTAGTGTAGCTCGTCAACTGGAGAACCATATTGACGACATCTGTTTTGCTAACGGTGACCTGGGAATTCTGATGCAAAATTGCGAGCAAAAATAATGTCACGAAGGTGGACCGATTCTTACAGTGGCTAGACTAGAAAATAAATCTGTGTGGATGACATCTATTTTTAGACGGCACAATCAAAATGGACATTTTACCAGTTGCGTCGCTGACGGATGGTGACTCATAGCGTTATAACGTTATTTTAACTGAACTTATTTACATTGCTCCTGTAAATATGTCTATCGTGATAATCAGCTGACGATTGTCCGATATTCCTATATACATTTAACAATTTTAGCGTCATTATAGCGGTGTTGTCTGAGAATGTTTTATAATTAGGTACAGTAAGTCCATACTTGAGCACCGTAACCCATGTTGGTCCATTCCACGTCGTAGCCGGTCCAATAAACAACAGACATCCTTTTGGCTCGCGATGACTTGCAGAATCTTGGTGCATCTGCTACAAAATATTGCTTGCCAAAATAATGCCCAGTACTGCACCTGCGGGTATACCAGTTATACTACAAAGTCAATCAATAAGGAAGAATTCCATTTTGTACGTCGGTACATTTTGCCACTGGATGGCGAAGTCAGTGGAGAGTTGTACAATGTACAGTAGGTACATTGTACTGTACTGTACAATCACTGCAATGGGCGGACATCAGAAGTGGCTTGCTGGGCTTTACAGTTACTGCAGTCCAAGGCCGAAAAGTGAGGACATCATTTACAATAATTATGTCACCTATGGTAATTCATTACCCAGTATGACTGGTCAAGTGGAGAACCGTAATGGTGACATTAGCTTTGCTAGTGTGTACCTGGTGAATCTACTGGAAATCCCTAGCTAAAAGTAATGTCAGCGTGTCATACCTGCTGTACACTGGCTACACCTGGAAGTAAATAAGCATGGGTGACATCATTTCTGTACGAAAGGGTCAAATGGTACAAGTGCGCAAGATGACGTCAAGATCTGGTAAAAGTCTGCCTACGCCTCCTCGGCCAAATCATCCTTGAATAAACTTGGTATGCCATATTTTATTTCTAATATGTATTACTTAAACCAACTTTAATAGAATATTTATAAGAAAGGATTTATATTATTCACGATGAACTCATTACTTCTATCTATTTATTACTTTGGATAACGATCAGGATTGATATCTGCGATTATAATTGTCATTCCAGGAATAGGTTAGAGGGAATAACCGGATCATGATATTCGATGTACCACTGATTTTGCCTATACTGTAGAATCGTAAATAAACATTCCAAGTCTTAACTTTCACATGATATAGCTTCTAAAAATACTCCAGATAAACATCTATATTATCTCGAAACAATCAGGAAGAAGATTAAAATGTTACATAATGTCTCTTAATGAGTAGTATACTGTAGTATCTCGCACTATGGATTATGGCCTCACAAAATTATGCCAAAAGTAGTATCTACAGTAGAGACCCGTAGAGTATCTATCGCGATATAATGCACGTCAAAATCGCGCATAGCTTTCTCGTCTGCGCAGCTTAGATATCTATCCTGCAGCAGAAAGTATTAATTAAATCAGGGGCATTTTAGCAATCTATCGATTTAATTTCCTGCATCTGGGTAAGTACAGTATAGACGAATACGTGTATATGAGTGCATAGACGGAGTAGTGAGTACCGAAGTAAAAACTTAAGCTCATTGACTGGCCACCGCCAATCAAAAATGGCACGGTACGTTGTTATTCTACTATACAACATTCATTCCAGCCGGTACAACATGTGATCATTGCCGTCATGAAAGTTGCCCTTGGCAACCTAAGACCTCCTTTAGAACTTTTATGCGTGTTGTTTTAAAGGCTTTACGTTGATGTAATTTCTATTTATAATACGACTAAATTATACTACATAGTACATACTTGATTCAAGCATTGGACCACTAAATTTTGTTCAACAGGAGTTATTTTATTTTTTGCTTTTCAATTAAATTGATATTCCTACTGATAGGTGAACAAGTATGGGTGGAATTACACATTCGTCTTTAGTATGTTGTTGTGGATTAAGACGGAATAACCAATGCTGCTATCCGTGTTCTGCTTGTTGTAATAACTTCAAGGACAAAGCGCCATTTTATAATTTCGATGGTTCGGAAGCGGTCGACCCACTTGTTTGCGTCTTTAAGCCGTCTAAAAACTTGATACGTCGAAATTTTGTACCTGGAATAGTTATTGATAATGCCACCTTACGTCGAGGACTTGGGCCAGTTGAACAACTTACTTATCTTTGTAAATATGCTCAAGATAATCATTTTAAAGTCAAAGCGGTCGGTAAAGGAATGTCATGGAATAAAATTACTTCAACTCGCGACATCTTAGTCGTAATGACTTCATTAAATCGGATTTTAACACCACGAAATAAATCTAAAGGCGATGACTCTAGAGAAATTGAAGTGGAAGGAGGAATGCTGATGAAAAAATTCGGTAACTTGAAATAAAAATTGAATTAGTTATCCACATAAGTACTCATACGTATAGTTTATCATAAGACATAAATTTTGATCTAAAAATGACTACCTTCAACTTACAATTAATTGCAAAGTGATCAACAATTTTATGAGAAAATTAGTGCCCCGTTGTTTTTAATAACAATGTTTATGTTGTTATATAGTAGCAGTCATTGTGACATTATCATAAATACTTATAGACTTAATTTAAATCCATTTTAATTAAAAGTGTGGTGGAAGCTGTGACACGGTAACGATATATCTGAGCTATCTTCCTGTTTATCAGCATTTTCCATAACTTTTTTAACGAACCAATAATTAAAAATCTCAATAAATATGACCTAATTGGGCCAATCTTAAAGACTAGTTACTCATACGTATAGATAGATATGGATTAATACACTCGTCAATAATTTAAATAAAATTTTTATTATCAATCATTTGTTTTTTAAATACTAACTACTCTTGTTTATGTAATTGTGTATACTACAGTTAGAGCTTTGGATAAAAAGTATGGCTTAGCTTTACCAGTTGTTGGTAGTTTTCTTGGTCAAACCGTAGCAGGAGCTTTATCAACTGCGACTCACGGCTCTGGTTACCATGCTCAAACGATGGTAAAATATTAGATTAACGTGATCAATTTAAAGATTATTACGAAATTACTGTAAAATAGTACAAAGACATAAACTAGTAAACGAATGTACTAGAAAAAATAACAGATCATTATAATTATTACAAAGTGAATCATAAGGAGGATGAGGTTGATATAAAATAAGAAATATGACAGTGCTGTTTCATATCTAATAATTAGTTTTAGCTTACTATACCGATTCAACCTAATAATTAGTTCAACACTAATTTATAATCATACTTGCTAAAGCACCTTCAATAATACCTCATTACATCTAATATAGATTATATCAAGAATTTGATATCTGTTTTAAATCAACAATATTTCATTCATTCCAATTATAACAAAATTACGCCTATTAACTAGTATTAATATAATAATTTTATCAGTATATTCGAGTTTAGGAATAAATGAATTAAATTTAATGCTACTGGTTTTATATTTTACGTATATCATAGTCTGCCTATGTGGTTGCTGTTCGCTTAATTATTGGTGGTGGAATCCAAGTAATAATACGTGGAGGTAATGAAAGTATTCACCAGTGTCAGCAAAGGTTATCTCAGGTCACGTTCGGCGAGATTTTAGAAATTAACAGCGATGAAGTCTTGAAATCCGTTTCGGTATCGCTAGGTGCAATGGGTATTATCTATAGCGTTACTTTTGCTTGCATTCCAACTTTTCGATTAAAGGAGGCGAGGATAGAGTTAGATATGCCAGTTCAACCAGATCAACCATTTAGAGTGCCGGAAAATTTTGAAAATCTATACAGAGGACCTAAAGATACCTATTTTTCATTTTTTATTAATCAAACTCCAAGAACTGATCCTGAAACAGGATTTGCTCATGATGCAGTTTATCTACAAAGCCATAAGACAAAGAAATCACCTACTTGTGGTGGCTGCTGCCATGCTTGCTGTGCTTGGTGGTGTTTACCTGGAGGTCGAGGTTGCTCTGATAGCTGTTGCTGTCAAGGTGATATTGCAGCTTCTGCCGTTTTGGGTTGTATTAGAAATAATCCGCATTGCGCTACAAAATTCAATACATGCGTATTGGATTCAATGACACGAAGCTATCCATTCCATGCTTCTTACTATAAAGTGCTAGAAATATCTAAGGGAAGGACTCAGTAAGTGTTTATCTTTATCAGTTTTCAACATGTACAGCATGAGTTTGGTTAATTAACACTTGCTTACATTTTTGCTAATGACGAGCTAATATGTGGCACGATTTCATATCATAATTTCTGTCAAAATTAAAATCTTGACCTTTAAATAATATACAATTTTAATTTTAGCTGTCAAGTAAGTAACTCAAAGGAGCCTTACTTGTTATCAATTGTAACCCAACTTCATATTATGATTACCAAATCCAATTTATTATCAATTTTTTATTCTCAGCGTACGTACAGCTGAATTTGCAATTCCCATCGATGTTATGGAGAAAGCTTTGCAAGATATTTTTCAAATTACGGCAAAATATAAGTCTCTGTACGTTGAACATCAAATACTTCCACTATACTGTCGGTTAGTGAAATCAGACGATTTGCCGCTAAGCCCAGCAAATAAACACCGCCCGGATGGAACTACTGTTGAACATTACATGTACATTGAGGTAATTACAGTAACACTGTAGTAAAGGCATTAGAAAGCGATGGCTTTAGATAATATTTTAATATCAGCATAGACAATCTCTAGAGTACCTTTTATTAGGTGGTTACAGTGTTATGGATATCAATCTCGCTAATATCATGAAATTTCCTCTCTTTGTACTCAGTTACCATTTTTACCTGGTACATATGGTGTAGAAAATTACTTAGAGTTGATTGAGAATACATTAGTTCAAAAATATAAAGCTCGACCTCATTGGGGTAAAAACCACAATTTGCAATATGCTACAATCAAAGCACTCTATCCAGGATTGGAAACCTGGGAGAAGGTTTATCGTATGTTTAATCCTGATAAGATTTTCGATAATGACTTTACCGTTCGCTGTGGTTTTTGTACAAGTGAAGATTATGCATATATTGATACCACAACACCAATGGTCGGTAAGTCAAACTGATATAAATAATATCTACATCTGATTTTTATTTCGTTTCAAGTGTAAATAAAAGATCTATTATTTCGTGTTACTATTTGATATCATGTAATCATAATTCAAGAGTCATTAATTCTTTCTGATGATGAATAGTTTATGATTAGATTTTGATTTGACAATTAAGAAAATTTACTGATAATTTTTAAGTCCTATCATTTCCATGATTCAACAGTAAATTAATTACAATATCATACGATATGCAAAGCCAACTTCGAATTTCTGTGCTAATTTTGTAGTCTTCAATTACATGATGTTTACCTAATAGTCGACATATACAGTATATCTGTATAAATTTCTTAAAATATATCCTAATACCGCAATTTTGATAATAATAAATTCAGACAAAACTTCAATCTAGCACGATAATACTAAACGTATTCGATTTTTATACCTTGATATAACTGAATGTTTTTTACGGTTTATCAAATAGTCAATATGCTCTATTTGTTTTCTTCATATACTGGTATCTCAATATCATGATTAGAACAATTCTACATTAAATGAAGTTTCGCTAGTATGGTGTAATTCAATTTTTTATCCTTTTTCAGCTTGCCCAACGCAATCTATCGATATGAAAATGGTAAGCACAGATGAAGTAGTCGATCTCGAAAACAATGATAATATCAAAAGTGATAAAGAAATGGAAGACAAAGGCCCAGATGTAACAAACTCGAAAGTAGATACTGAAAAATCTACCGATGATAATCTGACTACCGTTCAAAATTAATTTCTTTTTCGCCACATAAATTGTTTTTGTAATACTATCTGATATCTGTTTAATTTTGACAAAAGCAAATTCTGCTATGCTTCATAAACAGCTTTAACTTAACTGTATCATGAGTATTTTATTTACAAAGCAGATATCAATGAAAATTCGTTAATAATAATAAAAAGCGATAGTCAAAACTATCGTACTAGACAATACTGACATGGCTAGTCGGCTACTCATATGAGAGCACCTAGTTCAACCAAGATTATATCCAAAGCTATGCTGATTTTTTTTTTTTAAGAATTAAAGCTACTGCGTAAAATAGTATTAGTTTTTTTATACAAAGTTTTGCCCCGTTGTCATTATGTATGTATCTATACAGGTATTTAATAAATGACTTAAATAACTGTAAAATTTGTAATTAAGTTCTTGTGATTATGGAGATTACTTAGAAATATAACTACCATCATTTTAGGTTAACTAGTTAACTAATTAAGCAATGGAGGAAGTACAATTGTTATAAAAAATTTAAGATTGCATGCATGCATGTGATGTATAAGATTGACTAATTTACCAATCAGAAATCAATCGGTCATAACCAATTCTGAAGTCTATCCAGAATCGATAGGCTGATGCTATAGCTAGTCGAGGCCAAAAGTTATTATGATTTCATTTCTGCTAACTTCCTTCACGATATTTAAAAACTTTTAAGCTTGTGCACTGTTCATTAATTAAAAAAGTTAAACTTATTGATCCTACTTTACGTACGAGTACAAGAATAAGCAGCGTAATCGAAACAGTCCATTTTCGTAAAACTATCGATATTTTCGGATAGCACAAAGATTGCTAAGTAATACCTATATTTGGCTATTAATTGACAAGCGCAACAGCGTGAAACGTGTATCGTATTTTAAGGTAAGACCACGATTTATTTTCGAATAGAAATGTAGAAATAATCGTACAATACCAATAGATAAACTAATCTAGTCTGATACAACTTTTGTTTTCATATTAGATCTACCCGTATAGTGATTACAGTAGATTCTACATTAAATGTTATTGTATATGAAGAAATTAATGTGTAAATACACGTATACTAAATTCAAACATGTTGGTTAATAATAAGTACAGTCTGATTTTTTCGCTGGTTTAATTAAGGCATAATGTGATCGTTTATAAAACAACAAAATAGACAGCTATAATAGCGTAAACCAATTCCACTATTAAAGATGATTATATCTTAATTCTACGATATTGTAATAAGAAAATCTACTTTCATACTTATTTAATATTAACATGAATACATCGATATATACATATATATATATATATGTATATACTGTACTATAATTTTATGTATATGCACGTGCGTACGAGCTCATACATTCAAAAATTTCACCATGACACGTATATAATATAAAATTGGAAATATACAAGACTATTTTTAAGTTTGATTAAAAAATTAATTGCTGATTTAGATATATCATTTTAAATGCGTGTATAAATATCATTCAGGTCTACTATACATCAGTACCGTGATCCGTGAATGAAGTATAGGACTTATCCTGTACGATAAGTGTAAAACTGATCTGCTAAAGATATTGTATACCCGTACGTTTCAAGAATATGAGACTGAAGCGATCGCTGCCACACTACACGGTACAAAGGAAACATCATAGCCGATACTGCTACAGACTCAGTACAAGGTATCATACTTTAAGCGTTTCTGGTGTACCTTAGTCTTAGTAGATACAATAATAAATCCATGTACACTAAAGTCTTGGAAGTATTTAGTAATAAATCCAAGGCCGTTTGCAATAAAAACTCTAAATAACTTGCAAATCTATATCTGAATTTATATGCTGTGGGCAAAAAATTTCATATCATATCAGTAAGGAATGACATATACGAAATCATTTAAACTTCGTTACTGCTATTGCTAGCTATGCTGCTGTTCGATCTACTGCTTGATACACTAAAACGATATAATTTCTCTGCGATATCTTTACTAACATTATCACCAAATGGAACACTACTAAAGGCATCGGCCTCGTTATCAATAACAAGTGATGCAGGCCTAGTTCCAGGGTTTGAAGAATTCTGTAATCTTGAGTGCGACAATGAACTAAACTCATCTAATTCATCTCCGAAAGGCACTGCATCAAAAACATCTGATTCTGATCTATTGATCGTCGCTTGTTTTTGCTTAGTTTCATCCACTGCCGTATTATTTTCGGAGGCATCAGCAGTAGTTGGTTCAGATACTGTAAATGGTCTAGCTCCAAATAAATCTGTTGGGTTTACTACTTGATCTTTCTTGGCATCAGATACAGTACTACCATAACGATCAGTCGAAAAGGGGGCCGCTCCAAACAAATCCTTTTGAAAATTCGCCGAAGTTGCTTGCTGCTGATTGACAACTTCTTTAGTATTAGAATCGCCAGAAGATGTCGATTCAAACTGCACATTTTTAGCTGCAGTCTCGTTAGATCCGAATGGTGCAGCACCAAATAGATCACGGTTTCGAAAATTTTGAGAATCATTTAGCTGTGTAGATATAGAGGTCTCATTCGATACCTGTTGCGAAGTCATATTAAGAGATTGAGAAGTATGTACTGATGCACGCTTAATATTAGGAGGCGAATTTCTAGGAGAAGAAGGAGCCGAAGAAAATACTGCTCCTGAAGGTAGCGGACGACTCCTACTACTAGTTGTTATTCGATCTGGTGTATTCGTAGATGGCGCACGAGGAAGATTAGAAATTTGGTAAGGATCGCTAATTTGCCGGCGATGCTGGCGTAGATTCTCAGAAACTTGTAATTTCGCGTTAACCTGCTGACCATAATGTTGTAAGTTGCCTTGAATTGGGATTTGTTGAGTGGCCGCCGGATAATATTTTTGCTGATTTAAAATTTGCTTATTTTGCGCTTGTTGATATGCTTGTGCGGGCACTATATTATCAAAATTGAATTCATCGATAAGCTGAGGCTGCTGGGCAGCATTACGATTAACATCCCCTTGCAAATTAACTGCTTGCTGTTGAATCTGAGATCCTTGTAGCGGTTGTTGTTGCTCTTGATGTGGTAATTGTGAGGCTGGTTGTTGCTGATTTAGATACTGCTGCTGTGTTTGAGATACCTGTACTGCTTGCTGATGGCTTATATATTGCTGCTGTTGAACTGGTTGTTGCACTTGTAATCCTTGTGTTGCTTGCTGCAGATTTACAAAATGTTGCTGTTGATTAAGATATTGTGGTTGAGCTTGGGATCCATGCACTAAATACTGCTGAAATTGTGGCTTTTGCGCTCCATGTGCTATTTGCTGCTGAATGATTTGCTGTTGAGTTTGAGGTATTTGTGCAGATTGTTGAACTCGTTGTTGAATCTGTGACCCTTGGACTGCTTGCTGATTAACATAATTTTGTTGCTGTATCTGTGATCTCTGCTCTGGCTGAATGTACGAATTTTGTACTGGTCTAGGATCATGAGGTCCAGGTTGGTTAAATTGCTGACCAGAGGCATTGTGGTGAAGTTGTTTCGATCCCTGTTTCATTGCATTATTTTGAACATTTTGTAGTCCAGGTTGTCCATGTGATAAATTGGAAGCAATATTTGGTACAGCCTGATTATGACTAGCGCTGATTACAGCTTCAGTTCCGTGTAAATTTCCGTGCTTACGTACACCAACTGGCGTTAACGGTCGTGGTCTCTCTCTAACTGCTATCGAAGTTCCTGTGGTAGGTCCCGCGGAATTTCCAGAGGTCTGCTGAATTCTAGAAGATGCTTTAGGTTTAGCTGATGCGTCCTTGTTACCAACTGTTCGCCGTAAGTATTCATTGTAATCTTCAGCATCAGGAAGATGATCAGGAGATGAAACACCCTATAAAATAAGATTGCAACAAATACTACCATTAAATCTTTCAGATGTATACCACATTATGTAAAATCTTTACTTACATTAGCATTCTTTACAGCACAGGGCAATCCAGCCAATTTGAATGCCACATAGGACACTTGAAATATATCCGGTCTTAGAGCCGGATCTACTATTAACATGAAACCTGCATAGAAATTAAAAAGTACCGTTAATACCACTGTATAGTGAAAACAAATATAGTTAGTTAATCATCAGGAAATATAAAATTAGTTTTACTACAAGAGTACTATATTAATAACGCCTTCATTAAGGCAAAAATTAATCTCTCAATCAATCGTTTGATATCTTAGGAATTTTGACTATAATTACAGAATCACCGCTTATAAAATACTTACGAATTAACTTATGAAGATTTTTTGAATATTTAGATGTATTTGGTATTGAAAAGTGGCCACTTTGCATTGCCAAAATATTTTCACCAAAAGGTAAGGAGTAAAAACATAACTTGTATAACAGACAACCAAGAGCCTGCCCAAAAAATATTTTTTGTATCATTCCGACTATCTATAGAGTACAGTTTACTCAAGTACAAAATGGGATGTATAATTACCCATATATCAGCCTTTGTCGAAATCGGCTTTTCAGAATATAAATCTATCATTTCTGGTGCCCTATAAGCTAATGTCGTATTCCTACAGAAATTTAAAAGAGAATATTATATTTACCAAAAACAAAAGCACAACTGAATTATCTGTGAATAGCTGTTACTTAACGCTAAATGTAATCATTTATCGAAATTGTAGTGCTTACTGTTAACTGAAGCAAGATTAGTAAGATACTATCAGAAACGACTGAAAAAAATTTACCTCTTAATATCTTCTTCTAACTGTGGGATATTTGCATGATCAGCTGTTTGAATAACACCAACAGCAGCACTTCCAAAGTCGCACAGTAAATAGTCATTAGTTTGCGTGCGATATAGAATGTTCTCTACCTATATTGGCAAAAAACATTACAATTACTGAGAACTGTATAATCATAGCGTTGCTTGTTTCCATGAAATAAAAGTTACGCTAAAAGAAATATGCCAAACTGTAAATTCAACATAAGGTAGTAAATAGCTTCTCATATTATAGACATAGAATTGATTTCTATGTAGATTTCTAGTGGAATGATCAAGATAGATCAATTACACATATCTACCTTACCTTTAGATCTCTATGAATTAAAGGTGGGTTAAAGTGATGCATTGCAGATACGGCTTCACATATATCACAAAATATCTTTAATACTTGTTGCTCAGATAATCCATTATCGATGTGTTGGTTCATTATTTGCAAAACATGCACTTATACAAAAGAAAGTACGACATATTTTTAAGTAAATTAATCAATATACGATATAAATACGCAATAAAGGACAAAGCTAATACAATAAAGGAAAACCTGGTCAATACCTTTCATCGTTTAAGACTATTTTGTTTCATAAGTGTAATAATAGTATTTTTGATATCAGTAATTCTTACCTCTACAACATTCCATTAGCAGAAGAATCTCAATTATATCATCTTTTATGTTATTGATAGATGAACTGAGTAGTGTGATAACATTTTTATGTTTGGATAATTCTTTCTACAATGTTCGAAAATAAATGAAGGGAATACTATTAAAAATTGGAAATTAGAATAGTATCTGGACAAATTATTAAATTTAATTTTAATTGATTGTATTGTATTACAATAGATGAAAAAGTTGCTAGAAAAGTTAACATATAAGGGCAATAACATAATTTCACATGATATCATACAGGTAATTTAATAACACACGGTTATATCTACGTGTAAACAACCTACTACTGTAATAACAACAGAAATAATTATTAACTATACTAACAGATATTCTAATTTCTTTCTGGCAAGAGCGTAAATCTTGGGTATTATTGACTGATAGTCTTTTCAAAGCATATCTTTCGCCTGTTCTATTACATCTAACAAGAAATACTAAGGAAAAGCCACCTAAAAAGTAGAAAAACAACAGTTTGAATAATTTATAAACTACTAATATAATTGAAAAGGATATTACAAGCTTTTATGAAAGAGTCTTCCTAGCATAATAAATCACACCAATATTTGCGATCACAGAAAGCGGGAATAAATACATTAAATTGAATATACTGATATTTGAAAGAGTTCAAGATAGTAGAATACGAGTATACGCGTATACTCTTGATATAAAGTAAATTACTATTATTAAGGATTAGAGTGACAAAAAAATCGCGCAGATATTGTTCCAATGCTGAAGTTCAATGTAAATCGTTGCCCTGTCATGTAAAAGTACATTTCTAAATAACTAATATTTTAATTTATGCCTTTCAATAGCATGTCTTTCATCTTTAAAAAATTGTATAAGAATAGTAAGAATAGAATCGAATAGCTTATATGCATTCAGTGTTAGTAAAGATTTTTGTGAGCATAAAAAAAGTGCTAGCTAGTGCAATAAGCATGCTAAATATCATTTTCGAATCGCTTAGAAAAGATCAATGGATACTGTTAATGTATATAGTATAATAGAATAGTGTAATGCCCTTTAAAACCGTAAACATTGAAAAAACAATACCAATTTACGAAATTTAGTAGCCTATAGTTGTCCTTATTAGCAATATGGATTAAACGGTTTTGAAAAGTAAAAAGATGGCTAAACGAGAGAGGACTGAAGACGTACTTTCTTTGCATAAGCAGCATTAACGGTACGCAAATCTGGCTTAATCAGTCTAATATAGCGCAAAAAATGCTACTGTAGTCTGAGTGTAGACCACCGTACTAGATCATTTCTATCAATGCAGGCTTTAACTCTCGATGATAACGTTACTTATTTATCCTCTGGTCATATTGCAGTAAATATTGTGTGCTTTCTTAGTTTGTATAAACTCTGGAAGGGACTGCAAGATATTGTATTTTAATTTATTATCCATTCAACATAAGACAGTGGAAGCTTCCACTCTATTTTACGAAATTACAAGGAATATCACAAATCATTTACGAATAATTTATGACTATAATCATTGTACTAGCTTTTCTTTATAGCCTTTACTTGGAACGCTGATAAAAAGGTATAGAAATAAAAAGTTATTACTAATCACTTTCATTACTTCACTCCAGAATAAGGATATTAATCTTTAATAAACAATATTATACAAATTTTTTCAGATGGCGTATTACTTTTAATCCTAACTTCTACCACATTAACACGTTGATCCCATTCACATAGTCATTATAACCGTCTACAATGAAGCATGACTTTAGCTTCTACTGAACTACGGATAGGTAGACTACCGTAAGATTGCTAGTGTCGAGGCTTTACTTTATTTAACTTCGACAATATGTATTACAATGTACTCGTATTATTCTGAAATTTGCGATGGTAAAATGGTTAACCATGGTATGTAAGATAGTAGAAAATGAGGTTAAATTCAGCTAAGGCGTGAACATGGACTACTAGAATAAACTGCAGAAGTACTGTAGTCCATGGATGTGAAAAAATAATCAATTACAAGCTTGCACTACAGAAGTAAAATTGCCGACAGGTTTGAACTGATCGCTGTGTCAATAAGTTGGCACTCAAGATTATATTGTAATCATACAAGAATAGCATCCTCTGACAAAAATTTAAATGCAGTAATCAGCCAAGATGGATTTATCGCGGTTTCTAATGAGTTAAAATTAAATTGTTTTTGTTGATGAACAATCATTTTATGTTGACACACTTTTCGTGGATTGTTCTCCAAGTAGTAAGATCAGTTTTCAATGTCATCGAAATGGAAATTTTTGAGAAAGAACCAGTCAGTAGAATTGGTAAGAATGTATCAAATGGTTTAATAAGGCCTCTCATTATTGAAAAACATCAAAGTACTACTATTAAGCTTACAAAAAGTGTACTACAATTATGCTGAAGATGAAACTTTTTTCTATTTTACGCTATGGCCTGGTAGATGGAAATTAAAATTGAATCGATCTCTATTGATCAACTATGGACAGCAATCGGATTATCCAAGTATTGGAGAAAGGAAAAAGCATCGATTCTTGAGCGTAAATGAATAAAACTGCAACCTGGCATATTAGTTAATGAAGCAGAGATCTATTTAACATATCATCTTGACTGTTTCTCTCTATGACTAAAAATATTGCCATCAATGCATGACTGAAATTGTGCAATCACAGCACCTCATTGGCCCACTACAAAATCAACTTTCTACCCTTGTGTGTACTGTATATCCATGACAATTCATTGGAGTACTGTTTTCAAGTTTAAAGTATCCTATACGGATTGTACTTGCTCTTACTTGGCCATTGGATAAGTGATGACGAATTTTGCGGCTAAAATATTATATCATTGAGATTAATATACCCGTATATAGTACACGCTACCCTGCTGGCCTTGGTCACTGTATCAAGTCTGCTGCTCTCGCTTTCAATCTATCATTCTTACTTGGATAATGCATATCCAACCATGAACTACTGCTGGTATTTTACTGTCAGGAAGCATCCCGACATACATTCTTAATCAATATACATGATAAAGTACTGTACTTTATGCTGGTGTGAAAGTCCCCCAAAAAGGATTGAATCTACTACTCCAATCTTGATGGAATACTCGGCTAAGGTTAATTCATCAAAGCATGACTTGTGTTTGTGGTATTCGGCAATCCACAGTGCTGTACTTGATCGATGAAAAAAGTTTTGATTTAAGGGATCGATAATAACTCACCTTCGGCTAATAACTCTTCCACTGTTACAGAATAATTGCCAACATGGAAAACTTTACCGATATAAGGACACTGTTGGCCACTAAATAACTTCTTCATCTTGTGACTAGGACGTTGAATGGGAGGTGGAGTTGAGTCAGCAGGTAAAAAATTTCACGCCAATCTTGGGATGAAATGGAGTAATGAATGCCGATGGCACCAACCTTGAGGAAAGGAAATGAAATGGCAATTCTTTGGATCTGTCTACTGATTAAAAACGGCAAAGCGTCGTCGTTGATCCGTATTGTGGATAAATGGATGTGGATTGGTATAATGTCATCAGGAGAGGAAAATGTGGCCGGCAATTCCTTGGGGCTAATCACGATGTCCCCAAGATGATCGCAAGAGTGGAATGGACGTACCCTACGGAAAAGAAGTCATGGAATAGCTCACCATGGGCTATCACCATTTTTTTAATTGATCAAACCTAGATTGTAGTGTGGTACCTTTGCAAGTCAGTTAGTCTACTCTACCAGCTAGTAATGGTGGTTGATTTTCAAACTTTCAAAGTGAACTGAAGGCACCTTTCTTTTTCAGCCATAGCAGCCACCAACCTTCCATGTCATTCTGGTGTGTCTTCCTCGAGCCTGGAGGGGCTTTCTTCTCTACTGTACACTGTACACTGTACACTGTACAGTACAGTAGTACTGCATCTGTCTGGCCTATGCTGTACAGTATACAGTACTTTCTGAATTGTACAGTACACTGTACTGTATAGTACACTAGACACTGTACGGCGAAATCATGCGCCAAACGTGGAACCCTATACAGTATAATGTACTGTACACTGTACCCAACACTACAGTACTGTACTGTACAGTAAACAGTATAGTACAGTATAGCGCCATGTACAGCACAGTACAGTAGCTAACACTACTTAATAAGGTACAGTACAGTACTGTAATGTGTACAGTACATTGTACCTAACACGACTTAAGAAGGTGTCACCTGTCGCCGAGAACATGACGTAATAAGGTACGATACAGTACGATGTACTGTAATATGTACAGTATGGTGTACTGTACACTGTACCGAACACGACTTCAGAAGGTGTCACCCTGTCGCAGAGAACACGACGTAATAAGGCATAACACAGTACTATGTACTGTAATATTTACAGTGCGATGTACTGTAAACTGTACCTAACACGACTTAAGAAGGTAACCTGTCGCGGCGTAATAAGGTTGTACATTGCTAGGCTAGTTATACTGTATAGTTATAGTTATAGTTACTGTATATAGTTATACAGGGCTAGTCTAGTTCTCTAGATTTCGAAATTGAAAAATCGATCTAAATCAATTGTAATACGGAAGGAATTATTGTAGCAAATTGACCACCATTGACAGTAGTAGATATAGTGTAAGGTCACAGCTTTTCATGTAAATTAAAGCATAAATTAAAGCCTAATTCACCATCTCTTATATGACTCTAGCTATAACATTGCCTTTTTTAAATAGCGACGCATATATTACAGTATTTCTTACGAGGGCAAATTTTACAATTACTCGTATATAGTATTATCAAGAATGATGAAACATCTTAATTTACAGTAAAAGGAGGACTAATTACGTCATCCGTTACACCCTGCCGTAAATTATCTTATTTGTTAAGATACACTCATACAGTGCAACGGTATTGCATGATTTATTTTCGTTTTTAAGCTTAATTTGCAAATAAAAATATTCTTGTTTACATTTGCGCTATCTTTAGAGGTCTACGAAACAAGTGGCGATTTGATTGTAGATGTACTCAAGAATCCACTTCAATGGAAAAGGTATAGTATGCAAGACTATTTTACCAATATCGAGCAAGCAACCCTTGCGAATGGTAGTGCACAGCATAATTCACCATCTCTAATATAACTCTAGCTATAACATTACCTATTTCAAATAGCGACGCATATATTACAGTATTTCTTACAAGGGGAAATTTTACAATTACTCGTATAACAGTATTATCAAGAATGACGAAACATCTTAATGTACAGTAAAGGATGACTAATTACGGTCATTCGTTATACTCTGCGTTTATACTCATACAGTGCAACGGTATTGCATGGTTTCTTTTCGTTTTTAAGCTTAATTCGTAAAAAAATAATCTTCTTGTTTAGATTTGCGCTATCTTTAGAGGTCTACGAAACAAGTGGCGATCTGATCGTAGATGTACTCAAGAATCCACTTCAATGGAAAAGGTATAGTATGCAAGACTATTTTACCAATATCGTACTCAAGAATCCATTTAAATGGAAGAGGTATACAGTAGCATGCAAGATTATTTTTGGCCATATCGAGCAAGCAACCCATGCCAACGGTAGTGTACAGTGTACTGTATAGTACAGCACTTGATATCCTTGCCATAGTAGTGTACAATACCGCTCTGCACTCGATTTTGCTGACACTTTTCTACGGTATGTGACGTACGGTATGGACGGAACTGTCAAGCCAGTTAAAGAGTTTTTTGTCTTATCCACCTGATATACGTGATTAATTAATTAAAAAGTGACTGTGAATAAAAGCATAAAAGCAAAGCACCTTTAGCATTCCAACGAGTAAAATGAGTCATTGCAGATAGCGAGTTAGTGGCAATCCATATTAGAGTTAATCGTGAACTCAGTAAAATTAACTAATAAAAATTATCATGCTTTCGTCAGAGGATGTGAAGGACGATTTGGATGACTTCATCTATCAGGCTGCCGGTCATCAGTATATTAACGGATTTCGAAGTGAGTTGAAATTGTCCAAACTGTTTAATAAAAATGTCATATACTCAAGTACCATTGTGGCAGTATTTTATGTTCCAGCTTCTTCAATACCTTCTAGTTTAAAAAATAAAAGTAACATATTTTATCCTATCTCTCGTAACGTGTTGTCAAGAGGTGTGTTATGTAGGCGTTGCACTGTTGTATCAGATCTAGTTCATTTAGTAGAAATATCATCCAGGATACTGAAGCAGTCAAATCATATGATTTCGCTTCAAGAACTACATAGTAAAACTTGAAAATGGAGTAATGCAGGCATTCAAGATGTACAGTACTTTGCTATTATATATTCATTTATCTGCATATTTTTGTCTGTCTTGTTCTAACCTGTAGATTTACTTACTCGTAGCAGCAACTCTCAGCTGCTAACTGGTGAATAATCCAATTTACTAGACAATGTACATACACGTATGCTGTGTTCGTATATTATTTTCAATCTACCGCAGTTTTCGCTGCATCGCTACTAATTTAGATACTCCACCACTGTAGTTTAATCAGTTCGTGGTGATCTACAACTTACTACTTCCGAAACAACCCACTAACTACTAGAGTCTAATTAATTATTTATAATTTAAACTATTACTGTGAAGTGTAAAATCTACAGCATCACAAAATCAAAATTATGAAGTAATTCATACTGTGTACTTCAATTAGTCATCTTTACTTTGTACTGCTTTACAGTATCAATGGTGAGTGAGAGGAATATATGCGTAATGAGTGCGTAAACACCCATTAATTTCACAGTTTGTAACTCGTATCTTTCTCTATTGTGTGTCCTGTGGATATTGCATTGAACTCAAATTATAATTATAGTATAATTAGAAATCAAGATTTGTGATATGTATGATGACAATGACATGCTTGCGATTAAGATCTGACCTAAAGCACTGTACTACTCTATACTAGCTTTCCTAAAATGCAATGATGGTACCTTGTTAAAGATCTTTCAAGACGGCAATCGTGGTCACCGTGAAATGGAATTCTATAGCGAAATCTTTTCTGCAAATCATGACTCTGATCAAACAGCCAGTGCATTACGCCATTTTATGCCGACATATTTTGGAACAGTGACTATCAAAAATGATAAAAACTCACGTAAGAGTGATCGTAAACACTTGTAACTGCAAATATACGTATACGAAGTTACTGTTCAATGTGAAAATACAATTCTAATTTCGTAAATCATTTTCACTCCTTCAAATTCAGAAAATTGATCAAGTCGTACAGCTAAAATTAATGACGTTATCTTATAAAACAGAGCCATACATGAAAATTAGTGACGTCACCTCCAAATTTAAGAGACCTTGTGTAATTGATTTAAAAATTGGAAGGAGGACTTATGATCCTCTGGCCACTGAAGCAAAAAGAGCAAGAGCAGTTGATAAATATCCTTTGCAAGACCAAATCGGATTTAGAATTGATGGCATGAAGGTAAGTTCGATTACATCTGTGGTAGTCGCGCTAGTAGTGTTGGTCGATATCATAAAAAATTAGTCGTTATTTTACAGCCATCTTCATGTAGTCGTGGTATATGCATAGACTTCATTTACATACGCAATAGGTACTGGTGTAAATTGAATCGGGTTTGGCTCTAAGCCTCACATTGAATATCTCCATAAATTACGAATTAACTTGTTATAAATAAGAATGTCCTACTATAACTGATATTAGCGAAATCGTCAATGTTTTTATTATACCTTAAATGTTTCAGGTGTACAATAGTGATACTGGAAATTATGATGATTATGATAAAATATTTGGCCGCAAATTGGATGATGATACGATCGTCAACGGTAACTGACCAACTATACAATTTTTGTCATAATTTAGCGCAAGGTGCACATACAGAAAGATTTAAGCTTTCCGATACAATTTGTTATGTAGGTTTATCCCTATTTTATCCTAAAGAAGAAGGGTGGAAGATAAGCTTAATCGATAATACCATACTAAGATTACAGGCACTTTTGCAATGGTTTAATAGTCAAAGTAGATGGCTATTTTTTTCAAGTTCCCTTCTGATCGTATACGATAGTGATAAAGATTCATCTAATGAAGTAGACATAAAATTGGTCGATTTTACACATACTTACGAGTCCGCTGTTGTAATGAACGATACCAATGCAAATTGTACAGACAATAATACCATTTATGGATTAAATTCTTTGTTAAAAAAATTAAATGAGTTAAAAGTACGGTGCTAGTAGAAGTACTGGTGATATGATTACTGATGTTCAATTCCACAATCTCAAAGAAGGTTAATCTCTTGTGATGAAATGTGAAAATGATTTATTTAATTTTATTCGCACATCTGCATATACGTGTACGTGTATATAGCATCATTCCTCATTGTAATCTAAAAAACAGTAAACATTTTTATGAATGAAAGCAAATTAATTGTAATGAGCTTAATTCCAAAGTGTAATATACAAAATCACTGCATATGTTGTATTTAAATTCCATATGAATAAATTATTGATCCCTATGCGAGAAATTGTTTACAAGATTATTGTTAATATTACATAGCTTTAGCTTTACCGTCTTTTTAAATGCATGTTCAATTGATACTCAAAAGTTGTTAGTAAAGTAGTTTGGGCGAATGCAAACAGCGTAATACAGAGAATCTATTGATAAGAATTCTATTTCATTCGGATAACTCATTGTACTGTACATGTAATAGCACAGAACCAATAACTGAAAGTTGTATTAAATGTCAATGCTCAGAAAAGTTTACATTATAAAATTATATAGTATCGGACACAGTATTATGGCCATCGAAGATAGTTGCAATAGCAGTATTATTTAATAAAGACTTTAATTAGAAAGATATACCCGCCCATGCATTAGTCAGAATCCATAATAAATTCACCAGATGACTAGGTGTACATAAGAGTTGCCATTCTATTTGAGCCCATACTGTATATCGTAACTTAATATCAGCTATTATAAACATCATTTTCCATCTAAAGTCTTTTCAAATTTTTCAAATTCTCTTTGACTGATTGTTTCTGTTTCGTCTTCAATCTATCAGAAATACCTTAATTAAGTATTGTGTAGTATAGCAGTTAGAACAATCATCTATTAATAATACCTGTTCAACACCTTCGACTTCTGGAATATAAAACTGTAGCATATTTTGTATGCCATGTTTTAAAGTTACAGTTGCACTGGGACATGAGTCACATGCACCTTGCATTTTTAGCTTTACTATGCCATTATCATAACCCTGTACATATTTAAACCATAGCACAATTATAAATAAAAAAATACCTATATTAAATAAAGAAAAGAATATTCCACGTGAAAACGTCATTAATTACCATATATACTATGTCGCCACCGTCTTCTTGTAAAGTTGGCCTGTTGATTATTATAATCGTCCAATGCAAATAAAATTTTACAGTTAGCTGACAGCGTAACAGATTGTTTCGTTATACCATCGTAATTAGATAAGTGATAGTAACGACAGCGCTCACCGTATCCTGGTTTCGAGCAATTCTTTAATCATTGCAACAGTATCTGAATCCTCAGGTTGTACAGCTAAGTATAAATATTAATAGAATTTTGATATACCGGACAAATACTACTAAAAGTAATTTCATGTCATGCAATATTTTCATCCCATATTATATCCTATTACATTCCATAGCATTAAACCACGGTATACTGTACCTGATAAATGCTCTTATATACGTATGACTACTTGTTCACTGTCAATTCTAAGGCTATTTAAACGGCTCGAATCGAATCGTGAACAGGTGTACATGCATGACATATAGTATAATTAGAGTCTATAGACTTTTATTTACTGTCGAATATTTGACTATAAAACGAACCAGTATCTGTTGCAGGCTCATAATCGATTAAAACCGGTGCACCACTAGCAAAAAAGTCCATAATGACGGCGTAAATATCCGGTTTTAATGTATTCCATTCTATATCGTCATCTGCCTAAAGCATAACAAATACCGTAATAAGTATTTCGTTATTAAATATTGGCGAGTATTGATAATAAAAATATTTCGTACTCGACTTATGGTTACGAAATCTGGTCCAAGAAATACGCTCTTAACCCCGTCAACACGAAATAAATTTCTGTGACAATAAAGAACAATGAGTTATTCATTTTCAGTCATCGTGTTTAGGTACAATAATACTCTGGTGAAGTTATAGAGAAAGCATTTGTGAATACCCAACACAATTTATATTATACTACAGCAGTAAATGATCTGTTACAACTTCGTTGACAAACTTAATATTGTTTGTGTGATATGTCAAATTACGTAAATTTATAAATGGTGCCAGAGTCTTGCTAGCTCTTACTTGGTCACCTTATAGACCACTATAGGACCTTGTATACTGTAATTAATTTATGACTGCTCGACATCCAAGCTTAGAGTCACCTACATTCTACAGTAATACGAACCATACCCTTAAAAGGTATGCAAGCAAATATATGGTAGTACAAGTAGCATCAGCTATACAGAAGAGTACTTTACTAACATCAAATCTTTCGATTACTAGGAATACAGTAAACAATAAACAGTAGTTAAAAGGAAATTATTACAGGGCTAGCTCTGCCGAAGTAAACCTAATGATAAAATCGATGATAAACAAGAAATAGTAGTTACAGAAAACGTTACAGGTCTAGCTCGCCTAAAGTAAACCTAATGATAAAACCTAAGAAACCTAGCTAGGATTTCATAACAGTAGTCCCTTTCCATAATATCGATATTCTTAGGCTGTATACATGCACACATATTTAATCATAAACTTACTTGGCTAAGGGTGAAGTTAAAGCATCCCTAGCTGACGAATAGTCAATTGTACCAGATCCCAAAACAGGCACACCGGGAACAAACTTTAAACTGTTGGGATTCGGAGTATCCAATGTCTGAATAAACATGCTTCGCACTACATAATTAAAAAACCATTCGATCAATAAATCATCAAGTGACAAATACGATGGGTATTATAAGAATACTACGGTAATCAAGGTACTAGGAATCTAAAGTAGTTTCAATCAATGCAATCAGAACACTTTAACAAATGCTAGAAATTCTATAAACTGCCGTAACTTTGTGGTATATAGCATAATAGTAAGTCTATAAATTTGATATATTGTACGGCCAATACGTTAAAAGCAATTCATTTTTGATTTCTACAATATGCTATAGTGCAAGGTTACAGTATTCATCAGAGTAAAATATGAGAAATTTCCTGGATAGTAAAAGTTCAACTACAACCCAGTTAATGTATTTCGATTTAAAGCCCTGATCTTATCTAACCATTCCGTTCATAATGACAGTGCTGTATAGGAATATAACGTACTAATAGTGGTAGATACTCATATTTACATGAGTGATATATCCCCGTATCGTATTAAAAATCATCATGTTAAACTACAATATATCATACACTGACATTCACTGAAATAACAATCTATTCAGTTGCACTTCGGCAATATCAGCAATGCTATCATTTGGATCACTAGCACTATCGTGTAGGCTACTAACAAACTCTAACTCCATAAAGCATTACTTCTTAATCATAGATTAAGCAGGCAATTAGTACAATTAAAAAATTAGAGAGTGCATGATGAATCATTATAAACATGACTAGAAGTTTTAAAACACCGATTTCCGTCTATTCAAATAAGACACCACTACAACCCAATAAGTTAACTCACTAACCAGGTTGAAGAAGATGTTTAGCATAATTTCGAGGCTGTACATTCCTATCCTTTATAAAAGTCGGTATTGACAGGCAACGTGATGGGACATTAAAGGATACAAATCGATTAGTTTTAAGAGCAAATGAAGTTAAAAGAGAAGACATACAACGCCGCCCGGCCATGACTATATCTTGTAAGTGGTAATTGCTAAGCTAGTACAGTATCACGAGTGAAAGCTAGAACTTGGCAATTTAATACTGTGGCCATGCGTACAAGATCAAGCTTTAGACACTGTACTGTAGACTCACTTAGCTGCGCGTGCACCGCCGGACAGCCGGCACCTGAAGTCCGTTATAGCCTAGTGAACATACCAGGCCAGATTCTGTCCGTCTGTGTTGATTATGATTTGGACAAGTCATGACTGTCCTGTAGTCAAGGAAACTGTTTCGAGCAAGCAACTGTAATTCACCATACGAGGACACTGGTAGATATAGTTTAATTTAGTAGTATGCAGTACTTGAACGTTTTTTATAATCTGTAGCCTATCTTTGACTGATGCAGTCTCCAAGTACTGTACTGTATAACATTTAACGCTGGCCTTCATGTTAAAACTTAAATCATTGGAGGTTAACTGTTTGTGCAGTATTAATTATCAAGCATATCACACTCAGAGTAATGAGACTAGTGATATTAGAAAGGCAATCGTATGTCATTTTATAGCTTAATATTAATAAACACGACGCTTTCAAATCAAGAATATGCATTCTGAACTCTATAACAAAAAGGAATAACTGTAGAGTGTAATAGGATTTTAACCCCAGCTTCGCAACCTGACAATTCAAAATTCTGAGCTGTTAAAATAGAGCTAATCTCTAATATGTCACAAATAATCAACACCGTATTATAGACTTTAAAAGTAACGTTTCTTGCATTCGTCTATTGAAGAAGAATTTAAGTTCTTCCTTCATAGGAACAGTTGGAAAGCAGTTAAGATAAACCAGATAATCGACTTAACAACTCTTCTACATGGGAGTTATAAATCACATTAGCACATTGCTTAAATAACAATATTTAATATGGTTTTATCATCCTCGGAATTATATAGCACTAGTACGAGCGAGGTGTTATCATCATACTAGCTACAATTAACACTTACTGTATTAAGATATACTGAATAGCTCTATATTGCACATTACTTCTGTATTTCCTAACATATAACTGTAGTAATTAGCTGAAATCATTGCAAATTGCTAGCTTGAACTACCGATATTTTGCAATAAGAATATTACTTGTTAATGCAACTAAAGATTCAAATCTTGCAAAGAGTAAGAGTTTATCATAATTCATAATAGATCATATCATGGCTCATATAGCTGCCATAAAATCAAAGAACGGTATGAAAGATGCAGTTTTAGAAGTTAATCACGTTACTTTGAAATGTACTTGTAATAGAAAGAGTAAGCTCACTATAAAGTAGCTTTTACAACAGGAGTAACGCTTATACGCGTATTACGAAAGTAGAGCTGTACTTTATTGCATCTAGTTGTATTTGAGGACTGCAGCAGTGTTCATTACTAGAAAAAGATTTAACATTTTTACACTTTACTAATAAGATTTAACCTATGGCTTCTATTATAAAAGTCTGTCCACTGACGAGTAATAAAAAGTTACAGCCTTCGCAAGACCAATATTTAGTTATATACCTAATTTACTCACGAAAGTAATCCATGAAAGTGTAATTAGAAACTCTTTGCCACTCTTTACATGCTATTATTAATTAACTTAAGCATTTACTAATGCAACATCTCAGGTGTTTAGTGACGTTTAAGTAAATAAATCATACATCATTTAGCTGTGGCTTTACTTTAAGTCTCTTTGTTGATAGTGCGAAATTTGATTCAACAAGTGGCTCTCAAAACATTTATTTATCTGCTCTACTTATAATAGTCCGTAGTGCATACAACATAGGCGTATTTTGTAATGTTAATAGTAATGACTTAAAAACTCAAATCTGAACTTAATACTAAACACGTCGATGCCTATTGCATATAATTATATATTTTATTGGAAAAGGTTATCTTCCAACAGAGTGAAATTATACAGCTAAGCATAGTTACTATTTCCGACATTCCAACCGCTCCGGTGGGAACAATTATCTATAGTCGCCCGAATTCAAGTCATGGAACATACGCTGATTTAATTAGCCCCTGATCTCCAAGTAGGGCCGAAACAGAAATGATACATACTTACATTACTGCTATTTACAGTAAATTGCAGTTCGTCACATATAGGTCCTTTAAGAACGTTAATTATCAAAAGCTAATTATTTTTGTTTACTGTTAATCGCTAATAATGATAGTAACAACCTTGTGGCTTGGCTTGACTCAATTGAAATAAAGGAATACAATAAACTGAATAAATATTATAGTATCACTTCCTGTCTCCATGGATCACAATTATGTGACAATAATTATTATTTTAGTTTTCAATTGCTTGGTATGTAATATGTACCCTATTGTTTCTCAATAATATATAATCATCGATAAAAAACGTTTTACATTTATTCGCCAGCTGAGTGAAGGTAAGACGGTGCATGATCGTACTCGTAAATGTTAAGGCATTGTTGCATATTGCAAGTCTTATGCCTTTACTGTTCTATTCTAATGATAAAAACGTCTTGTACTTGAAAATACTGTTGGAAGCTAAACCTATATAACAAAGGATAGTTTGTACGAGCATACCATAGAACTGAGCTAAAAGTTGTAAACTTCAATTTTTATCATGCAGAGTAAATGTAAATTTTTGTTTCCGTTCGTTAACATATTCTTTCCAATCTATTTCATCCTGATTAATTGTCTCTAGGAGAGCAAGATGAATTTTAAGTTGCTCTTATTAGCATGCCTGCTATTTGTAGCAGTTGTAGCTGCTACTAAGAAGACAGCTCCTGTAAAAAAGGAAACAGAAGTGAAGGCCCAGGTCAGTCCTAAACAGGAAGAAAAAAAAGATACTGAGGTATCAAAACACGCAGAAGAATTGGACCGAGAAGAAGACGAAGACGATGACGATATAGAAAAGGCACTCCAAGAACGTGCAGATGATATTGAAGAAATAGATCCCGAAGAGGAGAAAGATTCAATAAAGGTAACTGATCGATAAGATTAACTTATCAAACTTTAACCACTGACTTTAAGAATTCCACGACTAATATTTCTTAATGGAAGAAATATTATTACATGCATATGTTGATTTATACCCTTGTAACATCCGTAAATTTACAGTTTTCTAACTGTGGTTTGACATACTAATTCATTTACAGGCTTTTAGTCGCCGTCGTCGTTTATACTACCGTCGTCGTTTATACTACCGTCGTCGCTTGTACTACCGTCGTCGCTTGTACTACCGTCGTCGTTTATACTACCGTCGTCGCTTGTACTACCGTCGTCGCTTGTACTACCGTCGTCGCTTATACTATCGTCGTCGCTACATACGTCGCCGCTACTATATCCGTCGTCGCCGTTATTACTACAGACGCCGTCGCTTTGGCAAAAAGTAAATTGATAAAGCCATACTCACTTTCTGAGATAAGCTAATGGTGATATATAGGCTCTAGATTTACCTTTGCAATCGCTACCGTATCTCATAGGCAGATTGACGATTGTAATCTATTAACATTTGCTTAATAAAGGCTCCATAAGAAATAGATCGAAAAAATTATCTTTATTATTGTCATTGTAGCTATCCTTAAATATCGAAATTAAGCTAAGACTTCAGTGAACTAAGACTGCGAAAATTGAATCAGCGCGGTTCTTACTATAGAAACGTACTAGTATCACTAGTGCTTATAGAATATTAGTTTTGCATAATAATCTAGCGTAGTGTACAAAACTACTGTAATTAGCTGAAATCACTACATCTAGTAATATAATGTGAAATTATCACATTAATTATATGCTATGATAGACCAGCAGCTAAAATTTACTCTGAATTTAAGTTGTCTACATGCTTGATCACTCATGACAATATCTATTTTATTAAGACGACGAACAGGTCGATAAATTTAAATAAGATAAGAATAATACAAGTTTAGTAATTGAAATTGAACTATCTAATTTATCAATTGCCGCATAGTATAATTACAAAAAAACGAAGATATTTCTAAGATCGGACTACTTCAAAGTCAAGAGTTCTATGTGAGAAAAGTTTGGCTAAAGTTTAGTTGTTGGTTTTCTAGTCATTAATGAGCCTACGACCTTATTCTATATACTATGCGGTAGTGAAGGTGCTGCTGATATTTAAATTAGTATGCAAACTTCTTCATTTTAAGCATCATTCATAGCAATAGAAACGTTTTCAAAAACGTCAGAATCAGTCTACCTAAGTTCGCACTCGATATTTAATACTGAGCGAACAATATAATTTCAAGAAAATGTTCCATGCCGTCCATTTAACTATAGAGCTACGAAGAAATAATCTCTGACATTACAGAAAATTACGCTTTTACAGTCTGTTGACCTAAATAACGCCCATGGAACTTATTAAAATTCCGTAAACAGAATATTAGCATAGCCAATGTCAATAAATCATTAAAAACAAATAAACCCTTGAAATTTGATTAGTAAATAATTTATCGGCAAAGTTCTTTTAACCTGTTTCCATTATTCATAATAGATCACTCCTTTGTTAATTCATCATTGTAAATCTAAAAACATTCTAGCAAACATAACCATATAGAGCAATTTTGCCTTATTTTGCTTACTGTTGCGGCATTGAATACTGTACCATTTTATTTAAGCCCAACAAAAAGAATAGCAAATCATGAAATGGCTTGATTTGGTATTCAATCTTAATTAAAACCTAGTTCAGTCAAAGAATACGGCTAACGATATTGTAAAATGCGAGTCATCAGAGTAGAAAATTGAATCAAAAATGCTTTAATAATCTACTTACCATTAAGATGGAATCTGGCTGTTTACTTCTTATTAAATAGCAACAATATTTTTCTCTCTTGATGACTCTTTCGTATCTGGATTAGTATTTGGGGATGATTTCACTTTATATTTCTTGCTGAGTCTTTATACCTAAGATTTGAATAATTTTGCAGGCTTTCTTGTAGAATCATTATCTCCTTAAACCTGGTAATTAGCACGGAGATAAAATGGGTAGGTATAGAATAATATCTACCGTAATATTTAAGGACTTACCCAAAGGAATCTAATTAGAAATATCGAACAATGCGTAATTAATAAGGATTTGACTAGAGTACAGCTGACAAATCGAGACCTATTGTCCGAGAGTAATTGTCCTAGAACTTTCCGATGGGAATTCATTAATCAATAACCAATCACGAAAAAGTGGTAAATTCTATCTTGAAATAGCCTAATTCCATCGTAGTAGGATGTATAACAATTCACCTAGGAGCCAAGTAGTTTTTGAAGAATATCGCACTGAAGGGCTAAATAGTTCATATATTTACGAAATTATCTACATACGTTGCCGGTAACATATAGTATGCATTGCGATAAGCCAAAAAATAATAAAACAACGAGTGAATTCTAGCTAGAAGTTATTAAAAACTAACGTATTTTTTATTTTATTTGCTTCTTTCAAATAAATTCGCCTAAACATAAACATATCATTCTAAGTTTTTATTTCACAGTATCTTACCCAACGTCAAAAATGAAACTTAAACTAGTTTTGTTAGCAACCCAACTGTTCATCGCTGTAACTACTTATAACGATAAGAAATAACTGCTTCAGATTCTGAATCAGTTCTGAAAAGTTAGAAAGACACTTGTTCCAAGAGAAGAAGACCGTGAGGGCGGTGACTACGGTATCGCATGGGATAAGTTCAACTATACGCGTATGCTAAAATTTTCAATACTTATATTTAACTGAAGCTATTTGCATTTATGGTATAGGTTGGACGCACCCGATGATTTATGTAATTCTCATATACTTATGTGTATATCAATGGGGAAAAGGAAAATAAATAAGCCTTATCTTTAGCAAATAATAGCTGCCTTTCATCATTAATCTGCGTTTGAAGAAATTAGGTTATAATTGAGAGAAAAGTGATCACTTAAGAAGATCGATTAATCTAGTTAATTGATCTATGAATCATCTACGACAGTGCAATAAAAACTATATATCCACTAAATTAAAATGGGATTAATTACGGATGGTTAGTAATCCTAGAAGGATACCCTACTATTACCAAAAATGTGGAGGCTGACTATTTCTCTGGCCATTTTAACTGTACTGTACTATACAGCTAAAACCGTACACTGCCATAACGAAATGACTATTAAATAGTCAGCCTCGATATTTTCTTCAATAAAAATCGTTGACAGCCCAGCCCCTCTCTCTTTCTCCAGTAGTTCCTGCATTACATTATATAGTATATGAGTTGCCGAACTCGCCTTCTTAGCAATAAAATTTTATAGTAAAGTACATAAGAAATCAGTCGTTAGCTAGGTTAGAGTATTAAATTATTATTTACAAGTGCTGTCTGAAATTTAGTTAGTAAACAAATATTAGTTTGCTGCTAACACAAGCCAAAACTGATCATGCCAGATGAAGCCAATGATACTGATATTGAAAAGTATAACTCAAATCGTCAGCTACACATTTACAACCTTTAATTTTGTCTCATAGGGAATCAATTGGAATGAAATGGATGTGATGAAATCCATAAATAATTGGAAAACCATTGATAAAAGCTCGACAAATAGTCCCTAAATATTATTGATAATCGATACTTCCAATGAGAGATTATTATACAGTACAATAAGTAGAAGTAAACTACATCTCATAACCCGCACCTCTCAAGCTAATATTGATCTATTTCACCGAGGGAGTGTTCATTAAATTATTGATTTATTCCATTAAGAGAGTACCTATTAAATTGTGAGAAATTATGTAGTTCCCTCTTTAGCAATAAAAGTCTTAGTATAGAGTAATTGGTACAGAGTGATCGCCACAGAATAACCGACTACACAATAAACATTTGTACAAATAGTATGACAGTAAATAAAAAACAATTTTCTTGCAATTTGGCATGTTCAAGCTATCTATTGTGAATATTGTATTGGCATTTAATAAAAGACATTGGAGTAATTCAGAACTTTGATCCTATCGCATGTTTTTTACTCTACGAAATTATCTTCTATTGTGTTCTATGTATTGCAAGAAATATGGAGGGTCACGATTGCGCCATTAGTTCTTAAATCAGCTTTTTATAATCAACGGGAGGCAAATTCTGGCGATATTAAATCTCAATTGCTGATTATTATAATAAGATTTTTTCCGATTGGTTTACAACGTCATTAGCAATAATGAGGATCGTGAATAAATATAACAATGCTCACTAATTGCTATTTTCGCGTAAGTATCAAAGGTTCCTGGAAATAAATGAAATCTTTTAGTACCCCATTCCTCTCTTTATACTGTATCTACACTAATTTTAATTCCGTTCTCAACCTAGTTTAATTTTAGAATGATAATAGAGATTGTTCCTTGTCCTATTTCACTCAATGAATCGTACGCTTGAATTTGATATTTGAATATTAAATTTAAGCGTACAATTCGTTTCACTAATACATAGTAATTTCCATTAGAAAAGAAATACATTCGTTTGTATCTACTAATCTTGAATTCCGGTAATACATCACATCTTTGTTTATTTCTTAACCTAAGATTGGCCATACCAAAATATATCGAATCCCGTATATTGTATAACATACACAGCATATAGTTACTAGCCTGCATTTCGCTTAATAAAGTGGAGTTATATCATTGGTAACGTTGAAAATGATTAATAGAGTAGAAAGAACTCTAAGACTGTATGCAGAGGTAAAATATATTTTACATTATATAAGAATTATATACTATTTTTGTTTGCATGAACGTGTATATGAACTATATATAGTATTTCGCAAGTATGATATTTTAGTCCTTAGAAAGTTTTCTAGTGGGGATTAGGTAGGGCTAATAGGTCTTAACGCAAAAATTTAATACCAAAAAGAGGTAATAAAATTATTCTTATGCGTTGACATTAATGGAGAAAATAACCAAAACAATTATCAGACTCAATTAATATAGATTTATTGGACATTAATCACAAGCACAAAAGGGTAGGCACAAATATCATTGCTATTGACTAGTGAATTAAATGCAAAGCACCATCATTCCAGTGTTAGAATCATGCTGAGGTACGGCTTGCTTTGTTTCTGGCTTACTGTTAACCAATTCAATGCAATCAACAGCTGCAATAATTAAAAGTACAATAAATGTCAACGAATGAATGTACTAATACGTAATGATGATGCTAGCTTAAGGCTATAAGAAGTATCATAATAAGGATAATCAGTGCAGAAGATAATAAATGATTTTAAACAGGTTTTATCACGTATTAACATCTATATATTATTTTATTTTATTCAGCCTCCTGCTACAGTACCCAAAATCTCTTGTAAGATTGGTATCAATTGTTGCGTTGACTTAAGGTTGCCGATTGAAATCCTGAAAGGCACCGAAAAAGAATAATTTGCTAGATTTGCTTTATTGTTTGTCTGTCATCGTTGACTAAAAGCATTGTTTACTGATATAAATCAATGTATACGTGATAGCTTCCTATTTTCCCGACTTGATTATATAAAGAGATATCACATTGTAGTACTTAGATAGTAAGT